ACTAAGTAATACAACTATCGCTTGGTCTATTGCGTGTGTGGAAACTGGAAAGTTCTTTGATGCAGTGCTTTTTATTTCTATTGTAAGGATCTCACTATTGCCATCAGACCATTTCTAAACTTAGTGTTTTGATTATTCCTTATAATTCCTCCTATCCTTTTGTTTACTGTTCTTTCATAAGAAAATATTTTATAATTTGGAATTGTAAGGTCAGAATTTTTGCCCTTGCTGCTTCATCAGAACCTAAGTTTCTGAAAGGCAGATCATTCTGAAAGTATGTTTGCATTTTAGGAGAAAGTTTTTTAATTTGCCTAAAATTATAAGGAAATCTTTAATGCTTATGTTTATTACCTTAAATTTACTTATAATATTTTCTAGTTCAGATTTAAAGTTTTGAATATTTAAATATGCAAAATCAAAATAATTTCGTTTTAAAAAATAATGTCGTCATAATGATAGTTTGGTAAAATTTTACTCATGATTTTGAAAATATTCATACGCAGTTAAAATGAATGAGTTCGTTTAGGTTAAAACTTTTTACTTCAAAAATTTTAGTTGCATATTTTATAAACTGATATATAAAACTGAAGAGAGGTGTACATCCTGACGAGATAATCAACTTTTAAGGCAATCAGGGCAATTTGTCTCATTTCCCTTTAAAAATGAGGTCTGCAATATTTTGCATGATTTTTTTTTACTTAAACTAAAAGTAAATTTATTTAATTTTTCAGAAAAATTTTAATAATCAAAGTTTTTAATAAAGTTTAAATAAATATAAATAGTCAAAATAATAAAGTTAAATAATAATAAATATAAACAGTAAAAATTCCTAATATTTACTATTATTTAAAAAAAAAAGATGAAAAAAATAGTATGATCATATTTGTACTGTTAGATGACTTGATGTAAATAAAGTTATTACTTGTGTAGAGATATATGATGGTTCAATTCATTGCAACTTTCAAGAATTCTTGAAAGTTGTAATGAATGTTATTAGAATGTACACAGATACTGTAATAAATGTTATTCTTAATTTGCTGATGTCTTCATCAGCAAATGAAAAATTACATCGAGTACATTTTTTTCTCTAACCACAACAAGTACATTCTTACCTCCGGCCACATCAAGACATGGATGTATAAAATTTTTGAAGGTAAATTTGAATAAGAAGAAATTTTTCTTCTAATTTAAAAAATTCAGAATCTTCTCAAAAACCTCAATAATTTGAATAAATGCAAAGTCAGCGTGAAATTTCCTTAAAAACATTTTATATTTAGCTTTCTAAAATTCGAAGCTCTGTAATCTGATAACTTTTACAACTTGAATGAATTTTTCATACCTGCCAGCATTATTCTCTCTGTAAATCAGACTTTCATAAGTACTCTCTGTAAATTGGACTTGTGGGCATTGTTGTTTTATTAGTTGAATATTTTTATACTTATATGTATGTTTTTTATATTATTATATATGTATGTCCTATGTACAGTCTAACATTACAAAAGCACTAATAATAATATTTATGAAATTGGTCTTTTCTACCAATGTTTGTCTAACAAAAATTCACATTAAAAAAAAAAAAAGTGTCTAGTAGGCAAGCTTTTAAGCCTATTTAGCAATTGTAAGGTTTGCCTGACTGTAATGGATATGTTAAAGTAGAAAGATTTTAAATGCTTTTAATTGAAAAGTTTCCAAAAGGTTTTACCAAAAATTGCTATATTTGCTATATTTATTACCGGCCCTTTATAGTTTTTTTCACAAGATCAAGAATATCAGTAGTAGCAGTGGAGATCCCAATAAATGATAATTAACTTCTTTGTTTCAAACAGTTTTAAAATTGTAATGTTTACAGATGAATCAAACTTGTTCTACTTCTCAACAACTCTTGAAAACCTATTTAAAAGAAAAAGTATTGAGCTAAAAACTAAACATGTGGTTTAAGACAAAAAAAAATACCATTAAATATAGAAAAAACAAAATACACACAATTTCACTTCAATAAACAAAAAAAAAAAATAAGATACCCCAATTCTTCCAACAATTAATATAGAAAACATAAATATCGAAAGAACTCAGAATATCAAATTTTTAGGGGTTTTGATTGAACTAGTCACTCGAAAACCCAAAAACATGTCAAGACTTGTGTAAAACAAAGACAAGTTTACTCATGCTCAGTCCTTATTGGAACAAATTTTTATGAAAAAAACTTGAACAAATACAATACAAAAAAGTTTAAATTACTTTTTGAAACAAAAAAAATCTTAAGATTCATATTGAGGTTCTTATTTATACAATAAAATAAGAAAATAATATTAAAAATAATATTAAAAAGTCTGAGTATTAAATTAAACTGTTATAAGGATTTTTTTTTAAACTATGTTAATTCAAAGCAAAAATCTAAACCAAAACCAAAATATAATCTAACATTAGAAAGAAAAAAAAAATAACAAATTTTCAAGATGATATTTACATCAATTTCAAAGTGAACTGACTTGTATATGAGTACTACACTTCTAGTATAAAGATACTCAAGTATAAAGTATTTATCCATCTTGTATAAAGTCGATGATATTGCATGGTGCAGCTTTAATGTAAGTAAAGTTAAAAAATTGGTTAGTAGACAAAAACACGCTGTCAGAATTATTTCAGGTTCAGGTCAATTCACACATTTTAAAGAACTATTTAAAAAATATCACATACTTAATGTTTTTCAGTTAAACCTTTATCAAATTCTTATGTTTATGTACAAACTTCATAATAAAGTTACTCCTATATTATTTAATACACTTTTCAATAAGGAGTTGTCCATTAATTACGTCAACAAAATAGGGGGGAGGGATCTGAACTTTTCTGACAATTGCTGACAAGGGGAGGAGGAGATCAAATAAAGTTGATGTCAACAATTTTTTTTTTTTAGATTCATTGCCTAAATAACGGAAAACTAGGCTGAGTTTGTAGCGTAGCTTCTTTGTATAGGGAGGGGGGGGGGGTAATCTAGAATTGACGTATTTTTATTAGGGGGTTTTCAGGAAATTTGACAAGAGGGAGAGAGGGAGGTAAAAATTTCAAAAAAAATTGTTGACGTAATTAATGAACAGCCCCTAAAATAATTCACGCGTACTTTACAAGATTTTCAAGTTACAATTATGAGCAGCCTAAAATGCACTATTTGGTTACTAAATTTTCTATTGCCATCAGAGGTCCTAAATTATGGAACACTTTATTAGATAAACAGCAGAAAAATTGTTCTTCACTTTCTCTATTCAAACAAAAACTCAAATAAAAACTTCTTAACGATGTTAATGAATTAAATTCTTTTTAAGATTCTTTTTTTCTTTTGTTTTAATTTTTTTTTTTTTAATTTTTTTTTTCTTTTTTAACAACTATAGTATTAATTTGTCTTTAATTTAAATTTTCTTTAAATTATCCTATTAACTTATTTTTAGTTTTTATGTGTAATTATTTTTAATTTTTTTAACGATTTTCTTAAGATTATAGATTAGTAACTGATCTTAATATACTTGTAAAACTTGTATTTATTTTTGATATGGCATAAAGTAATTTTATGTTTACATTTTAATGGTTGTACACGCTTGCTGATGAAAGCACGTTGGGACGTAGTGGTAAAACAAATATTGTCTTCTTTTAGCCCCAGTCATGTAGATTTTATTTATATAAAATGGCATTGAATTCTTTTTTTAAATGACGAAAAATAAATAAATAATAAATGACAAAACTGATTTTCAGTCTTAAGCGAGCTCCCTGTGACTACGTATAAGTTTTTTCAATCTAACTTTTTTTCTCATTTAAAAAAAGTATAATATTTGAAACAATTCCATAAATTAATGCATATCACAAGAAACAAACATTTTTACGATATAACGGGGGATATAGTAAAATATTTTATTTGTAATAATATAGAGATACACTTTTCGTAGCTTTATACTTTTATATATTATCGTATCATCTACTTCTATTTAATTCATTTTATATTGAAGTTGTATTCGACTGTTTCTTGTATATTTACTTTGTATATTTTAGACTTTTATGATTACGATATTTATTTTTATTTATATTTATACCATCAACCTGTTATTTTAAAATGGCTACTTGATATGTTGTAGTTGTAAAATATATAAGTACTAAAAAAAAAAAAAAAAAAAAAAAAAAAACTTTCTGTGATCATTAACTGTGATTTTTAGGAGGATTTAATTTCATTATTAGAAAACTTTAAATATGATCTTGAATTGTTAAAAATTTTTTTGAAAATATAAAACTTTAAACACATTCTGGCAAATATTCTTTAGCGGAATTTTAATGGACCTATATACTTTAGACAGTCCACTGTAGTAGCTCATCGGTTACTTAGTGGAACATTAGTTTAGGCCGCAAAAAGTGGCCAGCTGATGACTAGCCACTATGGAAAGTTATTGGCTTGCAACTTATAGCGGCTGCCACTAATGGTTTACTTAGCAACCGATAAGCAAAACCCAAATGAATCACTCAAAATGACTATATAGGTCCCCTAAAAATCCTCTACAAAAATGTTTGGTGGGATGATATATATTGTAACTAATCCCAAGAGACACTATTTGTTTGTTTTATTTCTTTACTTTGCACTGTACAGGTACTTTGACAAAGAAATTTGAGAGAAAAAGTCAACTTTCTATAATTTGAAAATCTCTCTAATTCAAACTTTCACATAATTTAATAAATTTCCATAAATTTGAAATTAGAGATCACACTCGGTGCCATGGCAAGATTGGATCAACTTATTACAAGTTTTTATACGTGTCTTTAAAGCTTCAATTTTCTGAAATGCTGCAAAAAGAGTTTCTTAAAATAATACATACTAAGTTTTAAATATTATTTTAAAAATGTCATGCGCAGTTAAAGCATGGTACCATTATTTAAAATAAGGCATTCGAACCTGTTAATATACAGTCTGCAAATCATATAATTTTTTGAGTAATTTATGTAGTAATCTTTTTATAATATTTTTTTAAGTATTTAGATAAAGTGAAAGAAATAATTATAAATAATTATGTATATAAATAAGTTGAGAAAATGAAATCAAATGTGGTGACTTCATTTTTGGTGTTGTTCTTGCTTACAACGTACTTTACTTTTATTAGTAAGTGTTTTCTTATTATCTTATAACCCATTCAACATAGTTTATGTTTTTTTTTTTGTTTTTTTTTGCATTTTTGCATATATATATATATATATATATATATATATATATATATATATATATATATATATATATTTAGATATTTATATATATATATATATATATATATATATATATATATATACATATATATATATATATATATATATATATATATATATATATATATATATATATATATATATATATATATATATATATATAGAGATATTTATATATATATATATATATATATATATATATATATATATATATATATATATATATATATATATATATATATATATATATGTATATATATATATATATATATATATATATATATATATATATATATATATATATATATATATATATATATATATATATAATATATATATATATATATATATATATATATATATATATATATATATATATATATATATATATATATATATATATAGAGTGGCGTAGGAAGGTTTTTAAATGTTTGAAATAACCAACTTATAAATAACAAGAATATACCAAATTTTTTTACGTTCATATGTATGACAAAAAAAACCAATGTATGACTGTATGACTATGTATGACTAAAACCAAAATTTATATAAGAAAAACTAATAAAATTTCTTCAAAAATTTAAAGACACACTATCAATAGTGAATTGGGATGAAGTATATAAAAAATGCAACCTTGAGGACACAAACTCCGCATATAATACATTTATCGATATTTTTTTTAATCATTATAATAGTTATTTCCCGATCGAAGAAAAAATAGTTAAAGAAAAATATTTGAACTGTCCATGGATTACTAGTGGAATTAAAAAATCCTCTAAAACAAAACAAAAACTCTACATAAAATATTTGAAAAACAGAAATGAAGTCAACTTATCTATCTACAAGCAATACAAAAATCTCTTTGAAAAAATAAGGAAAAACTCTAAAAAAATATACTACTCAAAACTACTTCAAAATACCAATGGCGATATTAAAAAATCATGGAACATCATGAAAGAAATAATCGGGAAAAAAAATACCAAAACAAATACCTTACCTGATAGAATTGTTGTGGATGAAAAAGAATACAACGATAAAAGTTCTATAGCCGAACATTTCAACAGTTTCTTTGCAAACATCGGCCCTAACATGGCGTCCAAAATTCAATGCCCAAATACCTATTTTGAAACCTATCTTACAAATCAACAAAGCGAACTAAAATCCAATGGACTAGACTATGATGAACTCGAAGCTGCAAAAAATTCTCTAAAAATTAACAAAGCACCAGGGATTGATGAGATTTCTAGCAACGTAGTAATAAGTGTCTTCCCGGTGATACGCAAACCCATATTCGAAATTTTTAAATCTTCAATTACAACAGGAACTGTTCCAGACAAATTAAAAATTGCAAAAGTTGTACCAATATTTAAATCCGGAGAGCAATGCTCACTTAATAACTACAGACCCATCTCAATCCTTTCTGTCTTTTCTAAACTTCTAGAACGAATAGTTTACAATAAACTATATAAATACCTAACTATTAACAATATTTTGAATAAAAAACAATTCGGATTTCAAAAACAACATTCAACCGAACATGCGATTATAGATCTTGTAAATAAAATAAATGACTCTTTTGATAATAACAAATTTGTTCTAGGAATCTTTATTGATCTATCGAAAGCATTCGATACTGTTGATCATGCTATACTACTTAAAAAAATGGAAAAATATGGCATTAAAAATGTTGCTTTACATTGATTTGAGAGCTTTCTTATAAACAGACAGCAATGTGTTATTATGGATAAAAATACCCATTCAAAATTACTTAAAATAAAATGCGGAGTTCCCCAAGGTTCCATTCTAGCTCCCCTACTCTTCTTGCTATACATCAATGATCTTCCAAAAGTCTCAAAAAAACTTGATGCCATAATGTTTGCAGATGATACAAACTTATTTTATTCATCTACTTCTATCGCAGAACTCTTCGAAACTGCAGGTATTGAACTTGAAAAACTTAATACTTGGTTTAAATCTAACAAATTATCATTGAGTACAGAAAAAACCAACTACATTCTATTTCACACCAATCAAAGGAAAAAATCTATACCAATTCCATTACCGTCTCTAAAAATAGAAAATAAATTTATCGAAAGAACCAAAGCAACAAAATTTTTAGGAATACTTATCGATGAGAATATTTCATGGAAAGCTCACATAAACTTATTAAATACCAAAATAAGAAACAACATTTGCATGCTTTACAAAGCTAGACCGATGCTACCCCAAAAAAATTTAAAGCTACTTTATTTCTCCTTCATTCAAACCTATTATACGTATGGTAATATAGCATGGGCAAGTACCCATAGATCCAACCTAGTGGCACTTTATCGACATCAAAAACATGCTACAAGAATAGTATTTAATAAAGATAAATTTACTCATGCCGAACCTTTGCTAAAGCTTCTAAATGCACTAAATGTCTACAAAATTAACATTTACCAAAATTTGATATTCATGCTCAAATATAAACTCGGACTTGTCCCATTACATTTTTCAGAAATATTTTTTAAATGCAATAGAAATAAATATGAAACTCGAGGAATAGGAAATTTTAAAGTACCATATAAAAAAACAAAACTATCACGTTTCTCCATCTCGTATCGCGGCCCTTACCTCTACAACAAACTAATAGCTAAAAATACTATAATTACAAAACTACTTAACCATAATTCTCTGAAAACACTTTTAAAAAAACTTGTTCTAAACTTAAACAATTTTACAAACGTATATTAAAACAAATAACTAAAAACCCCTAAAAAATCCACTTTAAAGCAAAGTAAATGTTAGATTTTATTTATATTTCGTACATGTCAATACTAAGTATAACAAACCATGTAACTATATATTTATGTGTATCAAATACAGCTCTTTTCCGTTTTTTGTTTTTGATTATCTAGTAGCTTTTTATGTGTGACTCTTATGCCACCATGAGACTTTGACAAACTGAAATTTCTTAGTAAATTAAGTATACAAAATATCGCAACTAAAAGCGGTTTCTTGATGACAAGACCAAAATGGTCTTCTGCAAGTTTCCCGCGTCTTTTAACAGTGTTACTTTTTTATATATATTATTATTTGTATTAAAAAAAGTTTTCTTATTATATGTACGGTATTTTTTTTATACAATGTAAACGAACTAGTTTATATTTATGATCACGTATTTGTAAAGCTTTGATAAAAGACAAAAAAAAAAAAAAAAAAAAAAAAAAAAAAAAAAAAAAAGATTCTTTAAAAAAAAATTACTGTGATAGGAGAATGGGAACAAGAAACCCTAAAACCTTAGCGCCCCCCCCCCCCCCCACCTACCTCAAATGTGAGAACAACAAGTTGGTGAAATATTTTTTGTATTATTTTCAACTAGACTTATATTCATCAAGAAATTTTAAACTTCATAGTAAAATATTTTAGTGTTTTTTTTTTTTTTTTGTTTTTTTTCCATATATTTTTACAACTACATAGCTTTAACAATACATACTTTTATAACAAATAGTTTTACTAATATATACTTTTTTTACAAATACAGTCAAAATGCTTTGAAAATAACTAATAAGATATATTTGATGTACAAAGTAATAAAATATTGTAAAATAGTTTTTCAGTTTATATTTTGAAAAGACAAAAAAAGTCTTAAAAAAGGAAAAATTAAACCTTTAGTTATGTAGTCAAGGGAAACTCGCAGAAAACTGTATAAAGTCTTGTTATCGAGAACCTTTTTTTTTAAACAATTTCATGAGATACTCATAAATGTTTTATTCATTACTTATTACATTTTTCAATATAATTAGTCGTGTTTTTAGGAAGGAGCATAAGGAGTGTTCAAAAATTATGACCATATAAAGTTAACAGCCTCCTCAAATTGAAGGGGGTTTAAACTTTATTTAGTCATAATTTTTGAACGCTAAAATATTTTACTATGAAATTTAAAATTTCCTGATGAATATAAACCTAGTTGAAAATAGTACAAAAAATATTTCATCAACTTGTTGTTCTCACATTTGGGGCAGGAGGGGGCTAAGATTTAAGGGTTTCTTGTTCCCATTCTCCTATCACAGTAACTTTTTTTTAAAGAATCTTTTTGTCATACATATGAACGTAAAAAATTTTGGTATATTCTTGTTGTTTATAAGTTGGTTATTTCAAACATTTAAAAATCTTGCTACGCCACTGAATATATATATATATATATATATATATATATATATATATATATATATATATATATATATATATATATATATAAATGTTTATTTATTTAAAATTACAGATAATGAATTAACTGGGTTCAGTGGTCAACTAACAGAGGATATTTTTGTACCAACACCTGTTACACACAGCATGATTCCAATTAACAAATGGATAGCAAGCAATGAAATTTTTTATAACAATGATGTGATTACAAATAGAAATATAAGAATACCAAAAGACGGTCTCTATATTTTAACCGGAAATATAATTATTAAAACTGATGAAAGCAATATGTTTGAAGCAATATGGCATAATGAGCTATATCTGAATTTTTGCAAGTCTATAAAATCGTTGAGACAAAAAACGACTCAAACAATAAGCTTAGGATGTTTTGCGCGACTTCGAAAAGGAGAAACAATTTCAATTTCAATCATAAACAAGTTCGAGTTAAATGTTATGAGTGGTTCATCCATTGGATTACAAATGGTCAGTGAAATCGGACATATTCTTTATTTTTCATTACCGATTCCCTTATCAAACAACACAGATGCCAAAGCTAAATTTAAAATGAAAGAAGTTTTTTCAAATTTTAACTTTTATAACACTCTAACAGGTACAAAATTTTAAAAAAATTTTTGGTAAAAATATTTAGACATGTTTATATATTAGAATAGGATTTAGTTTAAGAGCAGAACTTTATTTTTGTTTTCGTTTCATTTCAATCACTTTGTGGTTGTAAACAAACTTGTCTACAGTCGTTTAAAACTCATATTGAAATGAACGTAACGTTGTTTACAACAAATATAAATAATAAATATGTTTACAATAAATATAAAAGTACAAAATAAGCTTTAGAATAAATAATCAATATGAGTTTCAATACTTTGAAAAAATTGAATGGACTTCCAATACATTGATAAAGACTGGGCAAGATGGCGAACGTTTTGAAAATCTAAGTTTTTGAAAAACTGTCAGTCATAAAGCAATAAGCACTTACGTTAGCATTTTTTTTATCATTGCCAGCATAAGTTTTCAATTTGCAAGTAGAAAAAAGTTTGAAATAAAGATTAAAATGTAAAGTTTGTAAATGTGTTTTCTGGTCGTGTGACCGAGAAATGATGACTTGTATTGCATTTTCTGCCTTAAATTTTATAAAATTTTAAAAACTACCTTCTATTTTAACGAAAGTAACACAAAATAAACACGCGTTTCAAAAAAATATCGTGAAAAAAAATATCCAAAAGAAAAAGTTAAACCTGAAGCAAACCATTCATTAGTAATAACCGAAACCGAGGGTTTTTTTTAAACACTGAAAAAAATCGTACAAAATTACGTAGTATTAAATAGTATTAAATATACTATCACGTATTTAAAAAGTTTTAAACTATGTTTTACTAATCTTAGAAAAACTTATTGACTGAAACTTGTAAACAATTTGAAAGTTTTTTCGATATCAGTGATAAAATTTAATTTTTTTTTCTTATTATATATTTTTAGCTTTTGCTGGTATGAAAACTGTTGAAATACCTATATCTGGAATTTATAGTTTATCTTTAAACGTAATTATTAAAACAGACAAGTATGAAAGGAACAAAAATAACAGGAGCGGAAACAGTCATTTATGGCTCGAACTAAATAGTAAAATTTTAGAAAGCATAAATATCGAATCTGATGTAGTTGACACAATTTTTATTCATAAAACTTTATTGCTTCAAAAAAATGATGTTATTACCTTTCAGTATATAAACGTTGAATTACTTAGTGGTGGATCATATAGCATAACCAGACTTAGCGAAGCTGCTGAAGCATCAAAGGGAATTTCAGTACTGATTCCTGAAAGAATATTTTTAGCAGAAACCTCATTAGTAAATCATTTTTTGAACTTTGACTATTTAGAAAACAGCGTGCAAACAATGCCCTATTTTTATGGACAATCTTCTTTTTTAAGTCATCTAAATCAAAATCCGAGTGAGCAACTAAACAAAAATCCAAGGTTAATTGTTAAAGACTTTGGCGTATATTTAATAACACTACAAATTGATATTTTTATGGAACTTGGTGATATTGATGTAATCTTGCATTCTGTTATGGAAACGGAGAAATCTGAAATCAGTTTATCAAGCGGACTAAGTGCGTCTTTTAAGTCTGCGAGTGTGAAAAATAACCGGTTCACATTAAACGGTTTTCTACAGTTGCGTAAAAATTCTCCTTTGTATATTACTATAAAATGTAAAGATTTGTTTTCAATTAAAAACACGAGTTATTTTTCAATAACACCAATAAAAAATAAGATTTTAGCATTTTTTGGATACGTAAAAAAAGCGGAAAAAGATGAGCTTATGTGTAAAAATCAGTGGATGCCATTAAACGGTATTTATAGTCATTATAATAATACAATGAGCAATTTTTTGTCAATAAATCACAATAAATTTATAGTGCCTACGATCGGAGTATACTTGATATTAATTAATGCGCTAGTCAAATCACCAAGAACACGCGACGGTAAAATACGTCTCGCTATTTTTTTAAAACGTTATAATGAAGAGAAGGTAGCAATAGCGGATTTACAAAATTCCTTAACAACTGAGTCCAATGAACTGTGGATATCTAATATATTTCAATTAAAATCTGGCGATGAATTAGAACTAATGACTAATTGTACAGAAGGCGTCCAATTTCTTGACGATGTTAAACTTGAAATTTATTTTTTAATGCATGTTGAGAAATCTGAATACTTTATCATTAAAAAACCGACAACCGGTAGTTATTCCGATACAAAATCATCTGATTGGTCATTACCCAAAAGTATCTTATTGGATCTTACTTCTGGAGTATACTATATTTCTCTTAGTTTTCTTTTGGTGCACAAAGCTATTGATGCGGAACCCGTGATTTTGGAAACATACGTTTACAAAAATAGCTATGAAAATCTGAAATACGGGTTATACACAGTATTAACATTGAACAAAAATAATCACAACGAAGATGGATTTGAAACAGTGAATGTATGTGGTTTTATGGAGCTTTCACAAAGCGATATTTTATACATCGAAATTGTTTTTACCCCCTCATTTTATTATAAGTACATTAGAGAGTTTAAAAATTATCAATTCTCCGCCATTTTATTTTCTGAGAGCCATTTAACTAGCGTAAGATTTAAGACAATAGAACAAAATGATAAAGTTTTTACTTTTGTTAAAAATATGGAGCCAATAGAAAATCTACAATTTACAGAAGAGAGAGGTGGCTTTAAATCAGATTCAGCATCATTTCTAGGACCATATATGGTAGTGGAAAGGTCAATGTATATGATGTACGACGTTAGTGTTCAATTGAAAAATGTCATTGGTGAATTTGCGCTTTGCTTTCGCATAAGACCAAGAACAAATTTAGTTTTTATATCTAAAAAAATAGTCAGTTATATAAAAAAGTCGATTATGCTTGAGGCTCACGGTATTATAGATTTAACAATTGGAGAAACCGTCCAACTAATAGTCTATGGCGAGAAACAAGATAAAATGATATTATGTACGAGAGTGGTATGGTCTATGGTTGAAATTCTCCCCCCGGCTCCACAACAATCATTTGTTAGCACTTTAAAGAAGTATATAAACTTTATTACTTTTTCTTAATCTTTTTTTTTAGTTACCATTTGATTTATTTAAGGTACTATTTTAAATATTATTACAACTTGTTACTCTTGTCGTTATTATAATTATTGTTGATGACATTATCTTTGTATTTGTTTCTGGTCTTTTTGGTTTTGTTTTAAATTTTTTAAATTTGTTTTGAATTTTTTTAAACTATTATTATTATTATTATTATTATTATTATTATTATTATTATTATTATTGCTATTATTATTATCGTTGCTATTATTACTATTATTGATATTATTATTATTATTGCTGTTATAGCAACAATACAAACAAACTTTGTTGTCATAGTGGCGTTATAAAGACGCACTCGTCCATACCAAATTAAAATTCGAATTTTTTGGGTTCATACGATAAATATTTTTATTACCGCTTTTAATTTTTTTTTGTTTTAAATTGTTTATAATTGTTTTTTCTTTATATTCTCTTACCTTTGATTACTTTAAGATTTTTTACATTATATTGTTTTTATATTAATATTATTTTTAGTTCCACATTGAATATTCTTGGAGACTACTTAAAGTTCAATGAAGACGATAAAAGTCATAATTTTGACATCGTGCAGTTTCATGATAAAAATTCTGATGTTAAAGATCCTGATCTAAATAGTGAACTAACAAGCTTTTATCAGATTAGAGATAAACTTAGTTTGGTATTTAGATGTTCTGAAACTCTTGATGATTTGGTGTTAAACCCTTTTCAACATATTTATACAAAAGCTTCAAATGAAAGAAACACATTATGGTCGTTATTGAATGAACCAATTATATCGGTGTTAATAATTGAACCAAAAAGAAACGTTATTGATCTCATAGAAATAACTTTAAATAAAGAAAATGGCGAAAATTTAAAGCTTTTTGAAGGTTATATTATTGGTAAAAAAACTTTTATTTATGGCCACATGTATAAAGATTCAATACAAATTCGTAAAATAACTCAGGAAAGCAAAGCTCGACCTAACGTAGGAAAACAAACTGTTCACCTTGTTTTAATGCCGCTCAAGCAGCAATCACAAACAGATGGATTTTCAGCCTTATTTTTAAATGACAAAACCATTGAAGTTTATAATAAAGAAGTTACGATTGGTCCATGGGTTGTAACCTCCCTTCCGTTTTTTGACTATAGTTTAGGGTTTAAAAATAACAGCAATGTGTTTTATGTGCAAGAAAATGGACACTTTTTAATTTCTATCAACATAGAAATTGAGTTTATAACCAGGTTAGTATAAACAGTAAAAATGTTATAAATCAAGTTACAATTTCAAAAAACAAAAACAAAAAACAATGCATTACATGCAATGCCCTAGTTGGCTTTTGGTCTGTAAGACCCGTTTTTTGTACCTTCAAAAGACATTCAGAGCGTTCAAAAAACGTTGAAAAGTGTTTTTTTGGACCAAATGCCGGCCTGGATGTTGATAAGCATCATTTTATTATGCTACTATGCATATTGTGTTATGTGCATATTTAGATAAAAATACAGCATGTAAAAAAATAAAACCTGTTTTTTGCAATTTGTAAAAAAACAAAATCTGTTTTTAGGTTAAAGTTTAAATATTTTGGTTATACTTTTATACACTTGTAGACTTGTAAACTTTAGAAAACAAAGCCATACAATCCAATTCTGCCAAAGTCTATATTAGTAATGCAATTTATCGTTAAACTTAGTAAAAACAAATACTTTTATTTTTTATTTTTTATCTGGTTTATAGCTGTTTATAAACTTCTAACCATAATCTGTAAGTATATGTTAGAAACATCAGTCCGTAGGTATATGTTTGTAACAACAGTCTGTAAAAGCAGAGTTATGGTTAATGTTTACAGCAAATTTCTGGAAAATTCTTTGAGCGTATTAAATGTTAAATGAGTTCTATCAGTTTCTTGTTGTTTTAAAGTGAAAGTGAAACACCTTGTAAAATTTACAAATTCTAAAGCTTAAAATGGGTTGTTTGATCACAAATATTTTCCTCAGAAAATGTAAAAATATTTTAAAATTTGGCATAACATACCGTATGAGTATATTAGTATCCTCAACGGGGTTTACTTAGAAATCGATATAAGCATATATTTACGGTGTAATTATTTTTTTCACGTATATATATATATATATATATATATATATATATATATATATATATATATATATATATATATATATATATATGTATATATATATATATATATATATATATGTGTATATATATATATGTGTATATATATATATATATATATATATATATATATATATATATATATATATATATATATATATATATATATATATATATATATATATATATATATATATATGTTTAAGGTATTGTTAGAAAAGTTTTACATTACAGATGCGAAGTATATGTGATGTTAGACGAGAGTATATACTTTTTGATTGGAGATCAGCAGTCAATAAGTTACACAAATATGTTATGGCTTGAAGTAGGGATGACCATTCAATTAATATTGAAGTGCAGTGCAATAGAAATAGTTAAGATAAAGAAATTTTCTAGCTTCTCGTTGATATTGCATGGTGAGTAATTGTTTTTCAAAAATTATTTTGTTTGTTTGTCTCTTAAAAAAATGCTCAAAACACTCGACTAAAATAGAAGCTTGAAAGTTAAGATGCCTTGAAATTAAAAAATAAGTTCGATTGATGAACATTATCAAAATTCATCCACAATGTAGAATTCAAATGTTTATATTTTACTTCATAAAACAAAGAATAAACGACAAAAATGTTGGAGAGGGAGAAAAAACCTCTTTTTAATATTTCCCACAAAGCACAGTGATAGGAAATAATAAGAAAATGACGTTAATTTTACATTTGTGAAAGTATGATATAAAAAGTTTATATCATACTTTCACAAATCTTTATAAATATAATTATTATTATTTAATTTTAATTATTTTTTGTTTAGACCCACCTGTCACTTTATTGCAGCTTTCCGACCTGTTACTTTTAGTTAAAAATATTTTTAGTGAAAAAGCGCTACCTTTTTTTTATTTCTAAAACCACAGATGTTAACTTTCAGCTAATATATATCAATCAAAAAAATTTAATTCAAAATATTTCATAAAACTTACATTTGTTGTCGTGAAAATGGCGACAAAGATTACTTTTCAGACTATGAAATAATAGCATGACGTAATGATGACACAATATGAGTGTGAGTTTTAATAACATACATGAGTGTATGTTTTAATAAATTCTGTATGTTTCTGAGTCAATATACGTAAAGCTTAAAGTTAGTTCTTTTTCGTTTAACCTATTTACATTTATAATTCATATTGAAGGCAAATTTAAATTTCGTTATAATTAAAAAATGTTCACAAAACATTTTCAAACTTGGAGAAGAAATGTGTAAAAAAGGGTGAAGGGGAAAGACTTCATGGCTCTCGTTACCACAACCACTGCTTAACTTCCCTGCAGTGTTTTTTGTTGATCATACAATGAAAACATTTTGTTAAGTTAAAAACATCTATGGGAATATTTTCTCAAAGTGGGAGAAAGGTGTACTTGGCTATAAAGAAGATTTTTATAGTGTCTCTAGTTTACAGTTTTAGTAGTGTCAAAGCATTTACGGAACAAAAGTTTACTAATAAATAACAAAACCAATAAAAATATTGTCGAGCTCAAAGTTAACAAGCATAGTTAACTTCAGGCAGTTATTTTACATATATCTTTTTTCTTAATACTAGTTCACTCCCAATATGGTTGTTCACTCCCAATATGAATGTTCACTCCCAATATGAATAATAACTCCCAATATGAATGTTCACTCCCAATATGAATGTTAACTCCCAATATGAATGTTCACTGCCAATATGAATGTTCACTGCCAATATGAATGTTCACTGCCAATATGAATGTTCACTGCCAATATGAATGTTCACTCTCAATATGAATGTTCACTCCCAATATGGTTGCCATGGTTACAAGCAACCACTACCACTTTAATTTGGGACCAGAAAACAAATTTCTAAATTGAACAAAAACAATTGACAGAAGACTTGAAAATTGTAAATTATATAAGTAAGTTAAAGATGAAGATGGGAGTGAGTTCCTAAGCATTGACATGCGAAAAACGAAACTAGTTGAATAAGACTTTTTAGAGCATGAAGGGATTGGTATAATAAAAAATACGACTTTTTTCATTGACGAGTAAAGCAAGGATGAGTTTTGGAACTAGAGATGTGTTTTGGAACAAAAGATGTTTGAGAAGCAATGGTAGTAAAATTTATAGAACAAAGTTCTATAAATTTTACTACCATTCTATAAGTTTTACTACCATTCTCCCATCGTTGTACGATGAAATCGTACAACGATGGGAGAATGGTAACAACCTTGCAACGATGGGAGAGTGGTAATAATCTTACTACAATGGAATTTGCTAATGTTCATCCATGTACTTAATGTACATTTTTGCTAAATGTACATTTTTGTTAATGGAATAATGACTAAAACTTGGCAGGTAGTACAGGTTCAACTACATTAAAAAACAAGGTTCCTTGGGCATTGTTAAGAAAAGAAAGAAAGTTTATTTTTAGAAGAACCAGCTAAAAAGATGACAACAGTATTTCATACAGTTTAAGTTTAATAAGTTTTTTTAGTCAAATTTCACAAGTCTTTGCAAGCTCCAAGCTGTAACAGCAGGGAGAAATTCAATTGAAACAAAGATTCAACGTCTACACAATACTAGATTTGTTCAGAGGAATGTTTCTGGATAAATTAAAACATTCACAGCATAAACCTAGTATTTTCAATGATATATAGTTAAATATATATCATCTTAATATATATATATATATATATATATATATATATATATATATATATATATATATAATTGAGTATTGTCTAGGAGTCAATATTACATGTGACTAAACTCGGGAAGTTTGAAAAGTCAAACGAAAAAACTTTTATTCTTTATATGTTCCTTCAGATTCTCCTATCTTACTATTAGAAAATGTAACCATAGTTTAGCAGAGTTTTATATATTGTCTAGTCAAGACTAAAAAAAAAGTCCTCAATATTTGCAATTTTCTAACTATAGTTCAAAACTTGCTCTATGTGCCAACTCAAATGCTTATATGACAGCTTTGGGGTGGGGGGTGGGGGGAGACACTCCTGACACCCCCCTTTCGGAACGGCCCTGATCACAGTTGCAATATTACAAACAATAAGAGTATTTTATAGCATGCATGCTTTTTAATAATTTTTATTTTATTTTATATTTTTATTTATTTATTTATTTTTAAAAGTTCGCAAAACCATGGTTAATTACATTTGTAGGTTATTGTTTCTATGTTTATCAACTTTGTAAGAAAAAATTTTTTTTTTTAGTTTGTTTTAGGATCTATAGTTTGTCTATTTATATATTTAATTATGTAATCAATCTATTTTTTATAATAAGCTATCTAATTAATATATATATATATATATATATATATATATATATATATATATATATATATATATATATATATATATATATATATATATATATATATATATATATATACATATATTTCTCTATTTTTTAAAATGATTTTTTTTATTACTAACTTATATAATTTTAAACAAATTAGAATGATGGGTAGTAGTAGTTATAATTGCGGGTCAGGGTTGTGTGCTCCAATTAAGGTGTGTGCTCCAAGTACCTTCAAAACCAAAATATAAAAGAAAAGTATATTTAAGAGAATCGAATTCAGAATTGCAATTAGCACAATCACTAAAAAAAGTGGTTATGCTGGAGTTAAGCAAAAAAAATTATGGAGTTTATAAAATGTTTAGAACTATCCCAGTGTCAAACCATAAAAAATGTGTTCTTTTTGGGAAAATATCTTGAGTTTCAAAGTATCGCGGAGTCGAATTTATCTTTAGACGATGCGGCGGAGCATTATTTGAAAAATTGGGCCAGTGAATGGAAGTGTTAATGGTTTCTCTTGACAACAATAACAATAACAACATATTTTCCAGTAAAATTATTACAATATATGAGCCACTTAAAAGAAAGTAATATTTACACTGGATGGTTCACTCTCATATAGCATTGCTAAAACAAGGAGCGCGACCATGAAAATCGAAATACTTTACTTTCAAGATTAAATATCATTTTAAAGATTAAATATTAAATAATTTCAAGATTACATATCTGAGAAACAAAAACATCGGACAACCAAAATAAAAACAAATAAATAAATAAATAAATAAAAGATAAGTAAAAAATAATAAAAAAGATATACTTCAACATAACAACCAATAAATATGTTCACTCATAAAAATTCTTGATTATAATATAGGATTTAAGTTAGTTTTTTAATTCGTGTTTTTTTAACTCGTAAAAAGGACAGTCACTAAATTTAGTTTAAAGGTAATTCCAGTCATTTATTGCTGAGTGCATAAAAGAAGATTTGCCATAGAATTTAGTATTATGCGATGAAACGAAAAATCCACCTCTATGTGAGATCCTTGCCGATTTAGTATACAGCTTATTTATTAAGGAAAACCATTCGCTAAAAATAGATGGAAGCATATTATTTAGGCAGCCATGGATAACAGCAGCCATGTATAAACAGGCAGTTATCAATTTTGATGTGGTCATAAAAAATAAAGATAAGGTCTTTGTAAGATCTCTTTGTGTGAGAATTATGAGGTAGGAATTTATTTATTCTTGTAGCTCTTTTTTAAATAATATTTAGTTGTTTTAGAGTGGGTGAATTTTACCCCCATAATAGGCAGCAATATGTTAGGTGAGAGTTGAATAAAGAGTAATAATTAGATTATAAAGTTTTTTCATTAACATAATATCTTAGTTTAGATAAGTTAGCATTGGATCTGTTTAGTTTAATTGATAATTCAATTATATTGTATTTCCACGTTAAACTTTCATCTATTTTTATTCCAAGATTTATATTCCAAGATGACGCCCCCCTCCCCCTACACTGTTGTCCCATCCGCGAAGAAATTTTCAAATATATTTGAAAAGTTTGAGGAAAAAATATTTTTCATGTAAAGAAAAATAATTTTTAGAGGCTGATGATTTAGTAAATAAATTCATGGTTTATATAAAGGATATTGAGGACTTTTTATATATTATGTTTGTTGAAGAAAATATTGAACTTTTTCTATAATTGTAAGAATTGTAGATTCTGGTTAAGGTTTTTTGATGGTCACTATGAATGTTTTTAATCCACATAAAAAAACTATTAATCAACCTAACCCTCATGATGCTGCAATTAAGCGTTGTTTTATCATTGTCTAGAGAAAGTATTGCTGGAAAATATAGTTATATAAACTATAAATGTTTGTGATGCGAAATATTTGGATAGTGGAAAAAAATGAACACTTATTGATTATCATTTAGTAAATACACAGAAGCTAAAATCCAAAATCAAAGATGATAGATTATGAAAATGTAATTATTTGAGGGGCATCCAAACACAATTATAGAAACTCTCCTTCCACTACTTGCATGCATTAACAAGATTTGTTACTATTTTTGGAAAAACTAATATTGAAATTGCAGCTTTGAATAATATTCAAACTCAAATTATATATGCTTTAGAAATAGCAATAGCTTTGGATTTATGTTAACAATATTGTTGCTCCTATAGATAAAGGAAAACTTGATTTGTTTCCAATAATTAAAAGTTTAGGGAGCTACTTTTGTAAAGAAAAAAAATTGTTGATATTGAGTCTGCTGCTATAAAGTTCATCTTGTGCAACTTTAAAAGAATATGTTAATAACTTTGAAAATATTTTTAAGATATACCCTAGAAAGTTCATTTGCAATTAACCATATTGTATCATTTCTAAAAAGTAAAGTATACAAAAAATGGACAGGTGTTGTAGAATTTTTAACACTTAGTTGACAGTTAATGAGTTTATTTTTGGATTCATCCCAAAATTTTGTCAAAGTTGTTATTTGTGTATGTAAATTTTTAAGTAATTTAATAGCATGAAAGAAGGGTTAATTATGAAAATGTTAATTAAGTATTGATAAACTTATAAGAATAAAAAAGTGTATTATATAACTTAAAAGCTATATAATACATTTTGTGTATAGTTTATATAGTTTAGTCTGATTAATCATGGAGAATGTATATAATTATTTTTAACAGTAAATTTTTTCAAAGTTTGTTGTTTTTATTTTTTACTATGTTTTAGAGAATTATGTATAAAAATATTTTAATACACTATTATTGGAATACACATAGTATAGAGCGCAATTAGGCAATGTCATGTAATGCATTTTTTTCTTAAATTTATGCAAAATATGCCTATAAAGTTTAGCATGCATGGTTCCTCTCTTATTTGTCTAAAACTTAAATATTTGATTTTTAATTTGATCCATTTCTATAAAGGTTCTTAATACACTTAGTTTATTTAACCAATATATTATTATAAAAGAAAAAAACTGGTTGTGGGGTAATTCCATGTCAATTGTCGAAGTAGATCCTGAAATATGAATATTTTACTTTTAACAAATGTTGGTCAGGCTCCTCTTGTTCCCTCAAAATTTTAATATTTATTTAGGCGTTTCAAGTTACATAGTTTTAAAAATATTTGATCTTTTTACTTACAAATTTGTACCTGGCTATTTTCAGAGGTAGCAAATCCAATGAAATAATCAGAAATGTAAAGAATTATACCTGTATTTATAAATTTAAATAATTTTAGGCAATTTTAAAAAAAGCTGAATTTTTAAAAAGATGAAGATTTTTATCTGCAAGTAAATACAATTCTATATATGAATAACAGTTCACGGTCCCCACTTTTTTGTAGCAGAAAATTGCAATTGATTTTTTACTTCCTTTCTGACTAGCCAGAGCTCTGAAATTTTTGATATTTCTGTAGTAACAATGAATGTGCATGATAAAGTTGTTTTCATGGCCCAAGACTCCAGGGGGGGGGGGACTGGGTAAAAAGCCCTACTTTTTTGTAGTGAATCTTGGAATAGATTTTTCACTACCTCTCAGACAAATTAGACCTCTAAAAATTTCAGCATTTGTGTAGTCCTGAATGAATGTGTTAAAATTGTTTCCAGGGCAGACGAGGGCCGGGGCACTGGGGCCATGCCCCACTTATTTTTTCCAAAAATATATATATATATTTTTTTTGTATTTTTAATAAAGTAAAGATGTTTTATATTTTTATTTGTTCCATTTGGTTTTATGGATTTAAAGTAAGCATATGGATTAAAAATAGTCATCCATCTAAAATAATGTCTTTTTGAATTAAAAAGAAAATAGTCCAAATAATATTGATCTGTCAGACAACAACAACTGAAGAATACAAATTGATGTTATCAGAAGCAATAAACCAAAAAATTTTTTGAATACAATTTTTCAAAGTAATCATTACATAATTGAAATTGCAAAAAAATTAAAGTGCCCCAGGCCATGGACCCTCTGATTGTCTGTCCCGGAAACAATTTTAATTTTAGGACTACACAAATGTTGAAAGTTTTAGAGCTCCAGTTTGTCTGGGAGGTAGTGAAAAATCTATTACATGGTTCCACTACAAAAAAGTGGGGCACTTACCCCAATTCGCCCCTAAAGTCTTAGGGCCCTGAAATATCAAATTTAACATGCACATTCATTGGCACTGCAGAAATGCCAAAATTTCAGTACTCCACCTAGTCTGGAAGGTACTGAAAAATTAATCACAATATTCTGCTACAAAAAAGTGGGGACTGTGTCCCATTAATAATATATGGAAATCCATATACTTCCAGATCAAAATCTTTTTATTTTTTGAAAGATCAATGAATATAGATTAATGTGTATTGTTTTTTTTGTTTTTTGATATCATCAATGCCACATACTGTATTTCTTATCGTGCTGTCTGTGTGATTTTGAAAACGTTTGTTTGTTTAAAAGTTATTTTTATATTTATTTTAATTTTTTTAAAAGTATTTTCATAACTTTGTCATCTTGAAATTGTTAAAACCAAATATTTTATGGTCATTATTTTAAATAGTTTCTTTTCTAGTCATTTATTGCAAAAAAATAGCCTGACAAAATATTGTATACAATCAATAGGTCATTTTGATTCCTTTTGATTCTAAATTGATCATAACTTGCAATTTATTTAGGAAATTTTAAATTTCTTCATTTATGCGTTTTTGACAAATTCAATTAATTTTTTTTTTAGTTACTATTTAAGTAACTAAATTTAAATCAGAAATGGAATAGAGAAACTGTTGATTTTTTGAATACATATGCTCTGTATAGGTTATTATTGTATAAACTCTAAACTTAATTTCTTGTTGCAACTTGAAAATGCAATCCAAATAAATAAATTACTGCATGGTAATATATCAGCTTAAATAGTTCAAGCAATAAAAAAGTTGATGATGAACAGAACTGAAGTTGATGATGAACAGAACTGAAGTTAGTGATGAATAGAACTGAAGTTGATGATGAATAGAACTGAAGTTGATGATGAACAGAACTGAATGCTTTTCACAAATCAATTATAGCATTACCACTGAATTTACCCAAAACATTTTTATACACCTCAAAGTTTATAGAGTAATTATCAGTGCTTTAGAGAAAGTAGATTTAGAAGTTTCAGTTTTTATGTTTTCTCTTCTCATTAATAATACATTAAATTAGAACTTGAATTAACTAAAGCAATTATTTTTCTTTGCAGAAACTTTTAAAAACTTAAAGAAAGAAGGTATAAACTTTTTATAAAATAGTTTTTTTAAGTATCAGTTCAACCTTATCAGTCAATCAAAAGATAAATTAGATAAGGTAAAAAATATTTTTCATAATTATTTTAATAATCAAAAATACTTTTTTTTTGTGTTTGTGTGTGTTTTGCTTTTTGCTGTTGAATCAAAACATCTTACTGTCATTGTATAAAATTGAATTACAAACTAAAGTAGATAAAAATAATAAAGCATAGCAAGCTATGAAGTGTAATAAGGCATATAATGATATAGCTATCTAAAATAATTTGTAAATTTTTTTTTTTTAACTTATATTCCTGAACTATTTTTTTAATCTTTAAATAAAAATACATTGTTTAAATAAGTAATTTATTTTAAAACATTAATGTCTAACAAAAAGTATTGAACGTGTCGGCAAAGCATCTCTTACACCCTAACCTATTGGCCTAATATCAGTCAAGTCTGTTTCATTAAATATGTTCCTATTTTCAAATAATACATACACTAGTTAGTTGCAAAAAATACAATGCTTGTATCTATGGTGGAATGGAATTTAAATAGACATAAAAATATTCTTTAAAATTATGTCCTTAAATATATATGTGAACAAAGGTATAAATCTATATTTAAAAAATATCTACACAAATTTTATTATGTCAACATGGCCTATTAATATTTGTGGGCTAAAATGTTTTAAGTGTTCCCCATAAATTTTTAGAACATGAAAAATTATGAAAAAAAAAAGATCTTTAACATACTTGAATGATTTTTGTTTCAATCTTGGTTAAAATTTGCTTTTTGTATACCTATTGTCAATATAATGCTTTAAAAAGTCATCAATGACTTCACTTTTTGTCATTGATTAGTGATGTCTCTGATGAGTGACATTTTAAACGCATTAAATATACTGTTGGTAATCACACATGAATAATGTAATTAAAATTATAAATTGTATATTGTTTTAGCATCAACTGGGACATTTGACATACTTTCTCAATACACAAGAATAAAAACAAACATTAATGGAGAAAATTTGAACTTTCAAACTAACCACACGTTTTATTGTTCACATTCTAGTTTGTTGCTAAGTGACTTTAAATGGATTAAAGATGGTCAGGTATGTCTTTTTAACAATACAATAACAACATATTGTAGATAATTAAGTTATTTAAAAATTTTTTTTATTTATCATAATGTTTTGCAATTGCTTCATTAAATCAAAAAAGTTTATGCATCTACATGCAGTGTTTATAAAATAATTTCTCAAAACAAAATAGTGTATGAAGTGATATTGGTTTTTGTTCATGTAAACAGATTAGTTAAAAACTACAAATAAATTTAGAATATAATTTGATGAAACTAAAATCTTAGGAGAGTTAATATTTTTTTTAAATAAATAATCTTTCGTAAATTTTCCAAAGTTGGATTTGGCAAATTTATGAAAGAAAAAAAAAAATTTTTTAATAAAAAAGAAATGAATTCAAAAGTAAACAGAAAAGACATCTAAATTTAATTAATTTATTTTGTTTTACTTTTTAATAAATTTGAAATCATTATAACTCATATTAGTATGAGTTATAGAAGTAGAAAATAAAACTATGTGATTTTCACAACTTTAAGTTTCATGCAATCATCAGGTGAAATATAAATATAGTTTATTTGTTAAAAAATTTTTATACAGTTAAAACTATACAGAAAAAATTATTGTTATAATTGTGTGTATCTTCAGGTTTGCGGTTGTTTAATAGAAATTTATTTTTGTGGTGACATTTGAAAATTAACTCTATTTTTTTATTAAGAAGCTCTTCAGCAATGATTGCGAAAGCATGAAACTTAAAGTTGTGAAAATCAAGTAGTTTTATTTTCTACTATATATATATATATATATATATATATATATATATATATATATATATATATATATATATATATATATATATATATATATATATATATATATATATATATATATATATATATATATATATATATATATATATATATATATATATATATATATATATATTTATATATATATATATATATATATGTATATATATATATATATATATATATATATATATATATATATATATATATATATATATATATATATATATATATATATATATATATATATATATATATATGAATGTATATTATGTAGTTTATATATATAAACCATAAATTTAAAATTATAGTTTCAATAAAATTAATATTTCGAATTATTAACTTTATTAATTATTATTATTTTAATGCACTAATAAATGTAAATTAATGTTACTCAACAAGAGTTATTGTGCATTTCATATGGAAAACATACAAAAGCGTTTTTAACAATAGAATAATGAAAAAATATTTAATATTGTAGGTGATACTTGAGAGTAAATTTTCCCGAACTTCTGTCCTTGTATTGAATTTTGTTAATCAAACTTACAATGGGTTTTATCAATGTATTATGGAGAGGGGGAAAAGAGTTGAAGTTACACCTTTTAGTCATGTACAAAATACAGGTATTTTATGAAATGGTTGATTAGTATAAAATCATAACTTTTTAGTTTAGGCATAGTTAGATTTTTAGGTAAGCATAATTTACTTTTTATATAAATTACTTAACTTTTTAAATTAAGTCAACAATGTATGCATGTATGTATGTATGTATGTATGTATGTATGTATGTATGTATGTATGTATGTATGTATGTATTAAAGCAATTAGTATCGCTGTGGAAGATTTTATATGTGAAACCAAACACATTTTTATAAAAAGTAGTTTAAAAAATGTAAAACTGATTTGGGCTTTAACATTTAAAAACTGACAAATTGGGAATAATTGTGCAAACATATATACTTCAAATTCGACACTTGAAAATAGCATGATGCAAAAATTGACTAAAATGTAAAAAATTAAAATAAATATTTATGAGTGACATCCAAAAGCTTAAATGCTTTTGTATGTCACCCATAAAATAATAAAGGTACTAAAAGAGACTAATAAAACCAATTTTTGCTAGTAAAAAGACAAAATAAAAAGAATATTTTCAATATTAATTTTAAAGAATCTATTAATTAATCCTAATCAGTGAATGTGTTGCATAAGTGTTCTAGGTGAGATACAGATTTTCTTGAAAATATGGATGCAAATTAACAGTATTAGACTCTCAGATCAATGCATGATAAAAAAGTGTAAACCTTACAAGGTTTATGGCATTAATTAAATAAAGACAAAACATCAGTTTAAGGATTTTTAATTATCAATCAATTTGTCATTTGCTTGGGATAAATTGATTGGTTAACATTTCTGCTTGGGATAAATTGATTGGTTAACATTTCTGTGATTTTTACTCTGATCTTTAGTAAGAATTTTTTAGTAAGATGATTAAGAGTTGTTTGAAAGATATGTTCAATTGATTGAAAGATATGTTAATGGCAAAACCTCTCCAGATTCTTTTTTGTTCATCAGATTAACAGATGAAAAACTAATTTTAGTAGGAGGTTCCACCTTAATTTTAGCAGGAGGTTCCACCTTAATTTTAGTAGGAGGTTCTATCTTAATTTTAGTAGGAGGTTCCACCTTAATTGTAGTAGGAGGTTCCATCTTAATTGCAGTAGGAGGTTCCACCTTAATTTTAGTAGGAGGTTCCACCTTAGTTTGACACACTTGTACTAGATCATTCCAACATTTAGAATCTTTATAATTGGTTTGAGTTTAATCTTAGAGACAAATTTTTTATTTTCTTTATTTTTATTTATTGAACACAGTTTATTACTTAACCTTGTGTTTTTGTAGGATATGCAAATTAAAATTGATTTCTTTTTTCTTAAAAAAAAATGTTGCTACCATTATGATGGTTTGTTTATGATGCTTTAGATACAGTCATTCCAGGTAACTTTATATGCTTCGCGCTAGTTTTAACTCTACCTAAAATTTTTTACAAACTAAATAAATATTTTTCCATAAAGGCTGTTCTGATGATCTCCATTTTCTAGATTTCATTATGTTGAGTCACAACAAATTCTTTTATAGCATAGCCATAATCTTCGTGAATATGTGCGTTTTAATTGTTTACTTGTTCCAATGAAAGAACTGTATGACTTTTAGACATATATGCAATATATTACACATTGTTTCCAATAATTTGATAAACATCAACATATTTCCTAAAAAACTATCCAATATTGAGTCAAACATCAATATATCACATTAGGGAAGTGGGGGCATAACCACTCCCATAATGTTTGGATTAATGTTATATGAAAAAAAAAATGAAATGTGTTTTTTTAACAGTTTATTTCAATAGCCACACCATTAACCTTTAAATTGATGCAATTTAAAAAAAAATTAAACAGTTTTTGAAAATCTTGTTACACAAAAATTACACTTAGTGTAAAAAACGGTTTTCCCCCATTGTGAGGCACAACTATACCCTCACAAAAATTGTTAAGGTAAACTTTTCTTGGTACATGTTCTTTAAAGTTGTCACAGCTCAGATTATTTGCTGATTAGGCATTCTTAGTACTTTCAGTTTTCTCATTCTTTGTACTTTCAGTTTTCTCATTCGACATACTCTTAGCTTTATATTTTATTCAAAAACTCATTTAGAAAAATTAAATTAAAAAAAATGAAATCTAATTTCCAACATCTCAAAACAAAACTATTTCTATTCAAGTTTTTGCATGAACGCATTTAAGTGTGACAATTGTAATTATTGTTATATGTAATTACCTAACTTTGATAAATATTAAAAGTATGCAGTTGTGCCTGCTGTGTGTCTATGCGGTTCTGCCCCAGAGGACAGTTTTTAGAAAGAATACAGTTTTATAGCTTTCTCATTAGGTTATGCTGATATCAAAAATGGTTTTCACTTAATAAAATAATGTTGATAACATATATCTTTAACACTAAAATCAAATATTACTTAATTCTCAAAAAAAAAGTCTGGCAAAATATGATTTAAATTTAATATTTTTATCAAACATTATGATGCACAGCTTCTCAGAAACATTATGATGCACAGCTTCTCAGAAACATTATGATGCACAGCTTCTCAGAAACATAACAGGCATTCTTTTTGACATAAGCAAAATGAATGAAACTGTTTTACTAATGCATGGTATGTTTTTTGCCATATTAGATAACATTTTTCAAAGGGAACTGTTAAAAACGGTTGTGCCCCTATATGCGGTTATGCTCCCACTTCCCCTATATCCACGTTGTACATATTTTCTGGAATTACTCCATTTATTTCGTTCTCTAGGTTTTAAATAACTGAAAAATAATTTTAAATGACAATCCTGCAGTCATTGATATCTGTCAAGATAAAACTAACACCATTTATAATTTGGTTGGCAATATTTAAACTATTGTCTTGTTTTTTCCACTATGATCTTTATATATTTTATCAAAACTTTTAAGGTCATTGAACACAAATTGGTATTCCTTTTAAACTTACATAAAGTAAGTGATTTTTAAAATAATATTCCTAATCAATACTAAAGACAATATGGCACCCACTGACTTACAGTGTTTATTTTTTAATTTATAGAATAATGTTGTTTTGGGTACTTCAAAAAATTTAGAAGCCTCAACAATCAACATTTTTTCCAATTTAATCTTTGCTAATTGACTCTTGAAGAGTAGAATTTAAGTAAATGGAGAGAATTTAAGTAAATATTTTCATTGTGCCACAATGAATTCTCAAACATTTTTTTGACAATTTTGAATGCTAAAAACATAAAGTTAATTGCTATGTTGGGCAAAATTATAAAATATAGCCATAAATATTAAAAATTAAAAATCAAAGTATGTTAACAAAGGCCGAAACTAAAAAGATATCTATTATTTATAATGTATTGCAATGTTACCCAGACAGCAAAAAAATACATTTTAAAATTGAATATTCAAATTTACCCTTATTTTGGTTATATTTTAGCTGAGTGGAAATATATATCCCTTTTGTAACAAAAAACATGTGAGTTCATGTTATTTTGAGTTTATGTTAAAATTCAACAAATAATTCAATGTCATCTGCACGTTTAATGTTACCCAGAATGACTTTATGAAAAAGTTTATTATTTTACCATTCTGTACAGCGCGCTAAAAACATAGTTTCTTCAGCTTTTAATATTTCTATTTTGATAGAAAATAACACGTAAAATACTATTCTCTAATCAGTTTACATTTTTAATTAAAAAATAATTACATCATAGTTTTAGTTTTATTTACAGAATTTTTCTTATCTATACAAATATTTGATAGAAAAAATTGAATTGCCCTAGTATGTATATATGTATGTATTTATGTATGTATGTATGTATATATAACCATTATTATTAAATTATTTCCATAAATGTTTTTTTTACATATGGAGGATATTTTGCAGATTGAATGCCATATTTTGCAAACTTAGATGAATTAAAATTTAAAGGTTTATTAATAAATAAATCTTTCAACCTTTTTTTATCTCTTCCTTAAAAATAATAAAAAAACAAAAAAATTGATGTTTAATCTCATTTGTAAAGTTTATTTTTTAAATTACAAACGTAATTTGAAATAATTATTGTCCCCTGCTTACATTTTTAAAGTTTCACAAAGTTTGTTAAAAGCATTAATTTTTGCTAATTTAGCATTGATGGTTTTTTTTTTTCGAATAGCAAAATAACAACTGTTTGATTTTTGTAGAGTTTTTTAAAACATAAAATTTGTGAAAGCACCTTTTCTTGTTACAAATTTGTCCTTGATACCATTCAATAAAAACGATTTTAATAGTTTTTTATTTTTTTAATTTTCAATATATCAAATATAAAAATTTTATTCATGCTTTATTTTATACTACTTAAATAAACTTACACACAGTTACCATTTTACACACAGTTATTATTATTTTAAATAAAAACACTTACACACAGCTATTATTATTTTAAAAATATGACATGTATTCCAAAATATTCTAAAAATGTTAACTAAAATTTATTTTACCATAATTACCATTTAAGTTAAGAAGTCTTAACCCCATACCCCAGTAGTTCTCAACATGGTTCTTTGAAACATTTTATTTGTCAACATTTGTGTTTTAGAGATAAAGAGTGAAGAAAAAGAGTAATTTTTCTTTCTACCCTAGTTCTGTTTCATTTGTTGTCAGCTATGGCTTTTAAAAACTTCAAATGCTTTTATATATTTTAGATTCAAGACCTATTATAGCATTATCATCCACCACAATCTATATTTCAGAAAACATCCAGTATCCATCATTACTTGCAATTGCTACAGTAAAAACAGTTAACAATCAAAAATTAAACCTTAAAGTAGTTTCAGGTAATTTTCAAAATAATTTATCACTATTTAGAACTCAAAGTAAATTTAAATTTAAGTATTTGAAAAAATTAAGTATCAAACTTGATATATATATATATATATATATATATATATATATATATATATATATACAAATATATATTTGTGTGTGTGTGTGTGCAATCATTGCAATCTTTTCAGAGTATCTATGTTTGACCTAATTATAAACATATAAATGTTTGGAGTTTACTCCATGGAAGTTAGCTATCTCAAATATTAAAAAATACTGTATCCTTGTATATATACAGTTATGACCTAAAAGATCTGGATACTCATAATTATTATAGATAAAGCTAAAATGCAAAATATGCATGTTGGCAACACACTAAGCGCTGCATTTGCATAGTTATCAGTTAATAGAAAAATATTTTTTGTATGATTAAAATCATGTCAATCATTGTTGTCTTAATGACTATATCATTTGCTAAATGTGCACAAGTACAACATTATTTGCTAAATGTGCAACGAGTACAACAAATGCAACATTATTTCCTAAATGTGCACGAGTACATCATCATTTGCTAAATGTGCACAATTTTGTGCACAAAAATGTGCACAAGTACAATTTTCAATAAAATATAGCAAGAATATTATATAATATAGAATGAATATTCTGAAGCAATGACTGCTGCACGTTTGAAGATGTCTAAGACAACTGTTAATAATATTATTTATTTACACCTTTTACAAGAACGCAAATTAGTTAGAAATTTTGAAAAACAACATCTTTTTTGTCTCAAATAAGAGAGTTTGATATTTTTATGCACAAAGAAGCAACTTGCCATCAGGTTGTTTTTTAAATTAAATTGTTTTTTTTGTAACAAATGCATATGCTATACAGTACAAAATCAGTTTTTCACTATCATATTAGGTGGTCAGATTCTGTGTATATATATATATATATATATATATATATATATATATATATATATATATATATATATATATATATATATATATATATATATAAATATATATATATATATATATATATATATATATATATATATATATATATATATATAAATATATATATATAGTTATATATATATATATATATATATATATATATATATATATATATATATATATATATATATATATATATATATATATATATATATATATATATATATATATATATATATATATATATATACACTTACTATGTCATGAAATGACTTTTAATTCAAACTTCTTTTCCCAAGAAAACCCTATGGGAGTATGATAGTACAAGTATGTAGGAATACATTAGAGTTGGTTTTAAAATTTTTTATCATCATCTGTGAAAGAAAAATTGCTTTGAAATTTGTTCTGAACAAATGAGTTATATTTTCTATTGAAAACATTTAAATTATTCTAACATATTTATTCTATAAATAAGCAGTGTACTTACAACTTAGAAACAACAACAAACAAAAAAGCATTCAATTTCATCTAAAATAAAAAAATAAAAAATCAGATTCTTAACAGATCAACTTCAAAAAAAGGATTACTCTTATTAAATCTATTTTTTAAAAATTGATGTTGAAGGGTTATTTCTTACATATCATATGTTATAATACAGTATTCTCTACAAAGAAGTTAAGAGGAATGCTTGCTGTTGTAATCAATCAAACAGTTTTGAAGATTCTCAGGATAGTCTGGATGATTACTTTGAACCGTTGCCAGTGATGGTTGAAGTCATGATAGAGTGATTTCTATTTTTTGATTGCTTTCTCTGAATAGGTTTCTAGTGAGTGGTTGTGGTGATCTGTGCTGAACTGTGTCTGGTGATCTTGTGATGAACTGTATCACATGAAAAAAGACAGTAAGTGCTTTGGGAGTGACACTCGTGTTTGGAAGCTCAAGGTAGGAATTCTTGAAGTTTTCAATCAGGATGCGGTAGTTGTCTTGAAGAACATTTTCAAAGGAAGCTGAACAACTGCATCAAACTTTCTGAATGTGTCAATAAATGGAAATGCTAAAAAGCAAGCATGCTTTTCCGCAAGTTGTTAAAACAAGTCATCATTTTGTAAAAGCTTTAAACTTGAAAAACTTTTTTCAATACCTCAATTTTGTTAAGTGTTGAAGTGAGCTTGTTCATCCCTCTGTTTGAAATTTTTAACATATAAAAATTGTTGAGCAGTCTAGTTGGATCTAGCTGATGGAAAAAGTTCTATTTGCCTTGATAGCCCTGGAAATTAAGTTTACATCAACATAACACAGTTTCTCATATTATAATGTTTTCTTATTGTAATAAAAGAGTCACTTAAACAAAAGCATATTTAGCATATATAACAAAAAGAAAATATTTTTCACCAGGAGTAACTGGAAGATGCCTTTCTATTCCTTGACTAAGATGCACAGTGCCATAGAGTGAAGGAACCTTGTTAGCTATCACAGAAGCAGCTACTCTTTCTGCTGCTTTTGCGTTTTTTTCTGCAACTTCTGTCAAAGCATTCTTTTTGTACAATTATGTGGAATCTTCCAATCAGTGAAAAGCATTCTAAACAACGTTTCTCAACAACTGGCTATTCTTTTAGCTGACTGGTTGTGTTTGTTGTTCCAATCGGTTGAGGTCTTCCAAACTTGGCTTTTCCCACTTAACAAATCATGAAGTCAGATGGTGATTCTTTAGTTGCAGGACGAATCTTTATGTTTTATTAGTCAGGCAGTGAGGGAAGTTGAACATCTTTGCCATTGTCTCTTTTTCTAACGCCTACTTGACAGTTTTTGCAGATACCAATAGGGATTCTTTGATCTTTAAAGATGATGGCTTGACCAAAAACTTTTTGACAGCATTTAACCATAAAGTCATTTATTTGCCTGTTAGCTTTTTTAAAACAGAAAATAGACAGTTTTTCTGTTGTCATCATGAGTATTTGCTTGATTTGGCATTTTAAATAGTTTTGCACTTATATTTTGCTCAAAAGGCACAATTTTACTGTTCACAGGCATGTTCCGGAATTTTAAAATTAATTAAGGGCTTAGGAACTACTTGATCAAGTTGCTTATCTCTGTTAGTAACTTATGTGATAAGAATATAAAAAATTTATGTAAAAAATGTTTTATTTCATTTGGTTAATAATCTTGTCAATGACCCAAAAAATCAAAATTTTCAATCATTTAGGTAGCACAATATTTTCTGATGCAATGTGTAAATCTTTTTTTTTTTAATCTGTTCTTGAATTAAAGATAAACCAGCAGCAACTTCAGCAATTTTAATTACAGAAGCTGGTTAAATTGTTAAAAAAAGATATTAAATCTGTCAGAGATGTTTTGTTTGCATGTCTTCATCTTTGTTTTGTTTTTTAAACATTTGATTATGTTAATAGCAGGTTCCTGTTGTTTCCTGCAGGTTCCGGTTGTTTCCGGGCAAGCTTAAAGTTTATTTTTTTAATTTTTTCCTTGTATAATTTTTTAAATTAATTTCTCAGAAATTGTTTTATTAGTCTTAAATTCACTAGCCTCAAAATCAAGAATTTTTTTGACTTGGTCCTCAAAAGTTGTGCTTTGAATCCAAGATACTTTCTGATTTACAGCAACTAACTGTGAATTAAGAATGTTTTTTTTTTGATACACATGAAAAATTTTAATTTATTGGGTTTGCATTTCTATTATCATCTTTTAGAGCTTCATGCAGATAGTAAATCATATTGGACAACAAATTCTATTTGCAATGTTTTTTTTAATGTGCTAAGAAGATCTTTACTCTGTGATTTCTGTTAAATTTACTGTCAAACATAAATTTATTTGTTGTTTCTCCAGAAATTAAGTTTTTGCAACAAGCTCTTAATTTTTAAACAAAGGTGCTGAGATAGTAGCTGAAACTGTTAAAAAAAGTTAAAATTTATATGGTAGGGTGGGGAAATGTTGGTCTATGGGGTAATGTGGGTCTAATCAACATTTATTATTTGTTCAGAAGAAGGCTTTAGGTAGAAATTTTTTCTTCTGTATGTTATAGTTGGTTAAAACAGCTCTCTTTTTAATCATCAGCTTATTAGGCATATTCTTAAGTATATTTTTTGTTCAAAATGGCGCGTACATTTAAACAGATTTTTATCTAAAACATTAAACTTCAAAAAAAAGGTATAAAATATAAAGTCTAATAAACTAAAATATAAGGTCTAACCAATTGAAAATGTTTTATCTGGAAGAAAAATTACCAGATAATTAGGTTCAATTAGTTTAAACACAGAATGATGCATAGCTTTTTTGAAATAAACAACATTGCTGTGTGGGATGTGGGTTATATGTCAATGCGTATTGTATCATTAAAATTCTAATGCTTACACAACAATTACTTTAAAATTACAACCTTTAAAATGAAAATTAGTAAAAGTTAGAAGTATGTTTCTGGATTCATTTTTTTGGAGTCATTTTTCTGGAGTCATAATGCTATGGATTTCTTTAGATGATCATTAAAAATGTTATATTTTTTATTGAAACCAGTATATAAAAATTTAATTTTTGTTATATAAACATGTCATTTTCAAAGGATGATGAATCTATAATACATAACACAAAAAAAATTTTCAATAATTTTCAATTAAGCTTTTACTTTAAATTCTTTCTTAAACATCATTTCATCATGCTTTGTCTAATTAAAGTAATTCAACTATCAAGTTTATTTTTAAACTTCAACTTTCAAGTTTATTTTTAAACTTCAACTTTCAAGTTTATTTTTAAACTTTAACTTTCAAGTTTTTTTTCAAACTTTAACTTTCAAGTTTTTTTCATTCAATATAGAGAATTGTAATATGATTTGTTCTATAGCGTACTTGCCTCAAAAACAAAGGATCCGTGGTTCAAATCCCACCACTGGGCAAGTTTTGCGATATCGTTTAAGAAGGAGGCATGTACTTCCTATTAAATGCTCATCTGTGGTGCTCTGTGATAAGACCATAAGACTTCTTGGGGCACCTAAATAAAAATTAAAAAAAACAAACATTATCATCAACATCAATATCACCATCAACATCATCGTGGTTATAATCATCTTCATCATCAGCATCATCATTTGAATCTTGTCTGTATTCCTAATTTAATATTAATTATTTCTCAAATACATTTACACTTTTTTCAAAGGCATCATAATTTTCATGCTCATTTCATGCAGGATATGAGTTGATTTAATTAAACTGCTGTCACAATTGTTTTGTTTTTTTGTTAAAAAAAATTCTTAATGGAAGTCAACTGCAATGTTTTTGCAATATTTAGTAATTTTCGGTGGAAGCCTATCAAATTTTATACTAAATTCACTGGTTCACAAGTTCCATAGTGTCTTGTTTGGGATGTTATGCCATGTTTGGTATTTTAGTGTAAATCCCTTTTTTCTTTTAACTAAAAAACTAAATAGAAACTTTATATTGAGCTTTTAATTGATTTTAAGCTTCATACCAGAGTATGAGTTTAATTAGATTATGTGAGTTAAACTAATTTCAGAGACTCTGAAATTAGATTAATTCACATTTATAAATATTTATAACAATATATAACTCATGTAAATTTTGATATTTAAATTTTTGTTTAAACTTACCGAAGTTGGTCTACACCTTTTCAAGATGTAATTGAGAAAACAAAAATTGTAATTAAGAATCGTAAGATGTAATTGAGAAAACAAAAGTTGTAATTAAGAAACGTAAGATGTAATTGAGAAAACGTAAGTTGTAATTAAGAAACATAAGATGTAATTTAGAAAACGAAAATTGTAATTAAGAATCGTAACATGTAATTGAGAAAATGTAAGTTGTAATTAAGAAATAAAAAGATGTAATTGAGAACACGAAAATTTTAATTTAGATATTGCTTTAAAGGAGTAAGTGTAAAATGGCGCTTAAAAAAAATGGCGCGTAAAAAAATGGAGGGTATAAAATGACGCACTTAAAAATGACGCAAGATTTGTAGCGTAAATTTAATTTTTTAGGGAAAAATTTAGGGAAAAATTTATAATTTTTGGGCAAATGAATTTAACATAATAAACACTAAAAACACTTTAGGGAAAAATTTATAATTCAATTAAAAATTATAATTAAAAATTATATAATTAAAAATCACTTCATTGATCATTTAAGCACCAACTTGTACGTCTTCCATATTTAAAATAGTTGCATAGTGCGTGGTTGTGTGTTGTACCGCACGTGCACAATCTCCTCCCATTATAGTATTTTTCGCCTCAATTACAATTCGTTCTAAGTACTGCATGCGCTGTTCCGCAATCCCGTCACCTAATACAGGTGAAATGCGAATTGCATTTTTAACGTTACTTTTAATTTTGGACCAGATCGTTTCCACCGGGTTCAACATTGGACTGTAAGGTCCCAAACGTAACAACTGAGCTGGTGAATTATCAAACACCCTTTGCAAACGAGTGTGACAAGGAGCATTATCTGTTACGATGACCAAATCCTCCAAACGATTCCCGGATGTAACCCACTGGTGAAACATAGCCAACATCCACTCGTTACAGGAATCTGCTTTAAATGATCCCCTGCGAGTTTCTATCATGACGACATTTGTAGTTGAAATAGCTGCGATCAAGTGTATGTTTAAACCTTTTGAAGCAGGTACTTTCATAATTGCTCTTTTTCCTTGTCTCCTTGCGTTTTTCTACAAAAAAGGTTAAAATTTGTTTCATCCAACCAAACTATCTGACGACCATTTGTGATATGTTCGTTGATGTTTCTAACATATTCAGCTCTTTTTTGTTTGTTTTCATAACTGTTCATAGTAGAAGGCTCCTTGTGCACTTTTTTTAATGATAACAATCTGCCTTCGAGGTAATTTGCTATTGTTGTTGTGCTAACGTTTATGTTAAATTGTCTTAATATCTTTGTTTTGATGGCCACCAATGTTAATTGACAATCATTTTCAATCCATGTTAATGTTTCTTCGATTTGATCTTCGGTCAACTTTTTCGGTTTAAAACCTCCTTTTCCCATGAAATTTGAATTTCCGCTGCGAACCCAATTGTATGCTGTCTTATATTTGATACCTAGCGTTTGCGCGAGATTCACCCAATCTTCAAATCGCTCCGCACATTCAACAACTCTTCTGTCATTTGGAGAAGATAAAACGTAACATTTCCTTTCAACTTGTTCAGTTGTGTGTATTTCATGCCGACAAGTCGGACAACTTGAATCTGGTTGTTCCAGAACTGGACGAAAACAAATTTGGTGACATAAATGTTGACACGGATTTATCTTAATCACAGACTTTCGGGTCATAGTGTATTGGCATATAACATAACGATCTTTCAATTCCATTATTATTACTTGTGCATACAAAAGCAAAATTTAAGATTATAACTTAAATTCATGTCCAAAAAGACCTTTTGTAACAACCTACAAACTTAGACTGTGAATTTGCTATTTTAATTTATGTGTTCTCAATTACAAGTTACGATTTCTCAATTACATATTATGATTTCTCAATTATATCTTACGTTTTCTCAATTACATGTTGTGTTTCTTAATTACATGTTACGATTTCTTATTTACATGTTGTGTTTCTCAATTACATATAACGTTTTCTCAATTACATGTTGTGTTTCTTAATTACATATTACGACTTCTTAATTACAACTTTCATGTTCTCATTTACATCTTGAAAAGGTGTAGATAACATTTTTTTTAAAATTAAAGAAAAGTTGGTAACATTTTAGTATATAGGCTTTAATAAATAGAAATAGGAATATAAACACATTTTACTCTAGCTTCACTCTAACTGAAAATTTTAGCAAAAATATACAAGGATGTACATTTAGCAAGAATGTACATTAAAAAGGGATTTACATTAGGCAAAAATGTATATTAGAATTGATGTACATTTAGCAAGGTTGCACATTTATCAATGTTGTACATTTGGCAAGGATGTACATTTGGAAAGGATGTACATATGACAAGAATGTAGATTTAGCAAAAGTGTACATTTAGCAAAAATGTACATCAGCAAAAATGTATGATTAACAACCAATCACAAGGATGTGCAATGCATTGCTTTAAAATTACACACAAATAATTGATTCAATAAAGATTAGCAATCTATAATTGACACAACAAATAATGCAGCTCAAATGTGGATTTTAAGGATTTTGTTAATACTTACATAAATTTTTATTTAATTTTAGTTTTTATTTATTTTGTTAATACTTACATAAATTTTTTATTCAATTTTAGTTTTTATTTTAAGTATTAATTAAAAAAGTAAATAAAGCATCCAAATATTAAAAAAATCAAATACTAAATTAATGTTATTTAAATCAAATAAAATTATTGTTATTAAATTATTGTTAATACAAATACTAAATTAATGTTATTTAAATCTTTTAATTTTTTTTTCAAATTTACTGTTATTAATTTAAATAATTCTATATTTAGATGATCAAAAATTCTACTTATTTCCAGAAGAGACAAATGACTTTTCATCATTATACTTAAATGGGACATTAGATTATGAATCTAAACAGTTTTATAAACTAAAAGTTTTAGCTACATTTCTTAATGATAAAAAAGCAGTTCAAATAGAAGAAAAAGAGATAATTGTTTACATTACTAACGAAAATGATAATAGACCAACCTTTACAGATAATACAACAGTATTTTTTATTGAAGAAAATATTAAAATAGGAAGTCAAATAACAAGTATTAAAGTTGAAGACATAGATGGAAATTCAAATTTTACTTTTCATGTAATCACAGGAGAAAATGACCAACAATTTTTTAAAATTATTCCAAACACTGGAGACATGATTATAGAAAAAGAGTTAGATTTTGAGGAAATTCAAGCTCACAATCTTTTAGTTAGCGTGCATGATGGGTTGCATACATCGTTTAAACATATCAAAGTTGTTGTTTTAGACATAAATGACAACCTGCCAGAGTATTTGGAATACATTTATGTTGTCAACGTTACTTTAGACACTCTTCCAGGCACTCATTTACTGAGCCTAAAAGCAGTTGATAAAGATTCTGGTATGTTTGGCGAGTTACACTTTAGCATAACGTCGGGAAACATTCCAAAAACATTTGAGATGATGCAAAATGACCTAGTTTTACATAGGAAAGTTCCGGCTGAACAAAATTTTATACTTACAGTTGAATTGAGGGACGGTGGAGGTCTTAAATGTGAAAAAGAAGCGCAAATTCTTGTTCAGTTTATAGAACAACACACAGGTTCTTATTCAATTTTTGATGCATCAGTTTACAGTGTGGCACTTGTGGAAGCGTTTCATGGAGAGCGTGAAGTCATTCATCTTAGTATAAACTCTGGAGTGAAATTGTTTTCTTTAACATATGAAGTTGACACATTAGGAAAGTTCAGTAGCTCTGAGTTTTATGTGAATAGCAATGGAATATTGATGACCAACGCAACGATTGATTATGAAACAATTATTGAGTTTCACGTTTTGATTAGTGCATGCATTCAAGTCAAGAGCGGAAGATTATGCAGCATGGCGTATGTTGCTGTAAGAGTGACTGACATAAATGATAACTATCCAAAATTTATGGAAGAAACGCTTGCCATCAGTGTATATGAGGACACGCCTATTGGTGACAGTGTAACACAAGTAAGTGCATCTGACAAAGATTCAATGAAAAATGGTGAAGTTTATTATTCTTTATTAAACCATGAAGATACTTTTACGATTGATAAGTTGACAGGAGTTGTAACATTAATCAAGAAATTAAGCTATTCTGAAAATACGGAGTATGTTTTAAAAGTGATGGCGACTGACCAAGGTTTTCCACCTCTATCTAGTTATTGTACAGTAGTGGTTAGTATTTTGTTAAAATTGACTGATGTTGCAAGCACAAAGGTTTCTGAAAACAAAAGAGTGCCTCAGTTTACGAACAAAGAAACAAAGTTTGAAGTTTCTGAAAATTCGTTAATTGGTACTTTAGTGACAAAAATGAGTGCTGTTGATCCTGACGAAAACACAAAGCTTACTTTTAGTTTAGTTGAAATGCTAAATGATCCATCATTTTTTAGCATAAACCAGAAAACAGGAGTCATAGTGACTGTCAAAGAATTGGATTTTGAAAAGACCAAAGAACACAATCTTTTAGTTAGCGTGCATGATGGGTTGCATACATCGTTTAAACATATCAAAGTTGTTGTTTTAGACATAAATGACAACCTGCCAGAGTATTTGGAATACATTTATGTTGTCAACGTTACTTTAGACACTCTTCCAGGCACTCATTTACTGAGCCTAAAAGCAGTTGATAAAGATTCTGGTATGTTTGGCGAGTTACACTTTAGCATAACGTCGGGAAACATTCCAAAAACATTTGAGATGATGCAAAATGACCTAGTTTTACATAGGAAAGTTCCGGCTGAACAAAATTTTATACTTACAGTTGAATTGAGGGACGGTGGAGGTCTTAAATGTGAAAAAGAAGCGCAAATTCTTGTTCAGTTTATAGAACAACACACAGGTTCTTATTCAATTTTTGATGCATCAGTTTACAGTGTGGCACTTGTGGAAGCGTTTCATGGAGAGCGTGAAGTCATTCATCTTAGTATAAACTCTGGAGTGAAATTGTTTTCTTTAACATATGAAGTTGACACATTAGGAAAGTTCAGTAGCTCTGAGTTTTATGTGAATAGCAATGGAATATTGATGACCAACGCAACGATTGATTATGAAACAATTATTGAGTTTCACGTTTTGATTAGTGCATGCATTCAAGTCAAGAGCGGAAGATTATGCAGCATGGCGTATGTTGCTGTAAGAGTGACTGACATAAATGATAACTATCCAAAATTTATGGAAGAAACGCTTGCCATCAGTGTATATGAGGACACGCCTATTGGTGACAGTGTAACACAAGTAAGTGCATCTGACAAAGATTCAATGAAAAATGGTGAAGTTTATTATTCTTTATTAAACCATGAAGATACTTTTACGATTGATAAGTTGACAGGAGTTGTAACATTAATCAAGAAATTAAGCTATTCTGAAAATACGGAGTATGTTTTAAAAGTGATGGCGACTGACCAAGGTTTTCCACCTCTATCTAGTTATTGTACAGTAGTGGTTAGTATTTTGTTAAAATTGACTGATGTTGCAAGCACAAAGGTTTCTGAAAACAAAAGAGTGCCTCAGTTTACGAACAAAGAAACAAAGTTTGAAGTTTCTGAAAATTCGTTAATTGGTACTTTAGTGACAAAAATGAGTGCTGTTGATCCTGACGAAAACACAAAGCTTACTTTTAGTTTAGTTGAAATGCTAAATGATCCATCATTTTTTAGCATAAACCAGAAAACAGGAGTCATAGTGACTGTCAAAGAATTGGATTTTGAAAAGACCAAAGAACACAATCTTTTAGTTAGCGTGCATGATGGGTTGCATACATCGTTTAAACATATCAAAGTTGTTGTTTTAGACATAAATGACAACCTGCCAGAGTATTTGGAATACATTTATGTTGTCAACGTTACTTTAGACATTCTTCCAGGCACTCATTTACTGAGCCTAAAAGCATTTGATAAAGATTCTGGTATGTTTGGCGAGTTACACTTTAGCATAACGTCGGGAAACATTCCAAAAACATTTGAGATGATGCAAAATGACCTAGTTTTACATAGGAAAGTTCCGGCTGAACAAAATTTTATACTTACAGTTGAATTGAGGGACGGTGGAGGTCTTAAATGTGAAAAAGAAGCGCAAATTCTTGTTCAGTTTATAGAACAACACACAGGTTCTTATTCAGTTTTTGATGCATCAGTTTACAGTGTGGCACTTGTGGAAGCGTTTTATGGAGAGCGTGAAGTCATTCATCTTAGTATAAACTCTGGAGTGAAATTGTTTTCTTTAACATATGAAGTTGACACATTAGGAAAGTTCAGTAGCTCTGAGTTTTATGTGAATAGCAATGGAATATTGATGACCAACGCAACGATTGATTATGAAACAATTATTGAGTTTCACGTTTTGATTAGTGCATGCATTCAAGTCAAGAGCGGAAGATTATGCAGCATGGCGTATGTTGCTGTAAGAGTGACTGACATAAATGATAACTATCCAAAATTTATGGAAGAAACGCTTGCCATCAGTATATATGAGGACACGCCTATTGGTGACAGTGTAACACAAGTAAGTGCATCTGACAAAGATTCAATGAAAAATGGTGAAGTTTATTATTCTTTATTAAACCATGAAGATACTTTTACGATTGATAAGTTGACAGGAGTTGTAACATTAATCAAGAAATTGAGCTATTCTGAAAATACGGAGTATGTTTTAAAAGTGATGGCGACTGACCAAGGTTTTCCACCTCTATCTAGTTATTGTACAGTAGTGGTTAGTATTTTGTTAAAATTGACTGATGTTGCAAGCACAAAGGTTTCTGAAAACAAAAGAGCGCCTCAGTTTACGAACAAAGAAACAAAGTTTGAAGTTTCTGAAAATTCGTTAATTGGTACTTTAGTGACAAAAATGAGTGCTGTTGACCCTGACGAAAACACAAAGCTTACTTTTAGTTTAGTTGAAATGCTAAATGATCCATCATTTTTTAGCATAAACCAGAAAACAGGAGTCATAGTGACTGTCAAAGAATTGGATTTTGAAAAGACCAAAGAACACAATCTTTTAGTTAGCGTGCATGATGGGTTGCATACATCGTTTAAACATATCAAAGTTGTTGTTTTAGACATAAATGACAACCTGCCAGAGTATTTGGAATACATTTATGTTGTCAACGTTACTTTAGACATTCTTCCAGGCACTCATTTACTGAGCCTAAAAGCAGTTGATAAAGATTCTGGTATGTTTGGCGAGTTACACTTTAGCATAACGTCGGGAAACATTCCAAAAACATTTGAGATGATGCAAAATGACCTAGTTTTACATAGGAAAGTTCCGGCTGAACAAAATTTTATACTTACAGTTGAATTGAGGGATGGTGGAGGTCTTAAATGTGAAAAAGAAGCGCAAATTCTTGTTCAGTTTATAGAACAACACACAGGTTCTTATTCAATTTTTGATGCATCAGTTTACAGTGTGGCACTTGTGGAAGCGTTTCATGGAGAGCGTGAAGTCATTCATCTTAGTATAAACTCTGGAGTGAAATTGTTTTCTTTAACATATGAAGTTGACACATTAGGAAAGTTCGGTAGCTCTGAGTTTTATGTGAATAGCAATGGAATATTGATGACCAACGCAACGATTGATTATGAAACAATTATTGAGTTTCACGTTTTGATTAGTGCATGCATTCAAGTCAAGAGCGGAAGATTATGCAGCATGGCGTATGTTGCTGTAAGAGTGACTGACATAAATGATAACTATCCTCAGTTTTTGCATGACGTTTATAATGTTTCTATTTATGAAAATATTTTAATTGGTGAACTGATTGTGAATGTAATAGCAATGGATATCGATGGAAATGAAAATGGATTAGTATCCTACTCTTTATTAAATTTTGAAGAAACATTTAGAATAGACAAAATATCCGGTAAAGTTTATTTAGCAGAAAGTGTTAGCTCTAAGTTGCGTAAAGAGTATAAGCTTTTAGTTGAATCTTATGATCATGGAACACCTTCTTTACGATCCAACTGCACCGTTTCAATTAATGTTTTACCTAAGTTAGTTTCAAATTGTGATTTGCAAGAAATTTCTCATCACCCTGAAATTTTTATAAATTTTACATCAAAACTTTTTTTGCCAGAAAACTCACCAATTGGCACTTTTCTTACTAGAATAGAAGGATTTGTTTTTGATCTTAATCAAAGTCTAACTTTTGATTTAATTGAATTTAGTGAAGATATGTTGTTTTTTAAAATAAATAAATTCTCTGGAGAACTCGTAACAGCATCTGTAATTGATTATGAGCATATTCAAGAACATAATGTTATTATTAGTGTACATGCAGGTTTTTATTCAACATTTCGACGAATTAAAATTATTGTAATTGATGAAAATGATAATAATCCAGAATTTTTGGAATATGATTACTTTTCAAATATTGACAATGAAACGTCAATTGGTACTGAGTTAGTTATGTTGAAAGCCATTGATAAAGATTCTGTGTTGTCCCAAAAATTGACATTTATAATAACATCTGGCAATGAATTAAATTGCTTTGGTATTGAAATCAATAAAGTTATCTTAATGTGTCCTTTAAATTATGCTGATATATTTTTATTACATGTTTCAGTATTTGACAGTGGTGGAAGAAAATCTAATCGTAATGCCCATGTCACTATCCGTGTTAATACTGAGAGTTTTAATTCCATTTCATTACTGGATAAGTTTATTTATAAGGTTCGCATATTGGAAAAAGTAAATGAAGAATCCCAAATTGTAAAACTTAAATTGAATAAAAAGTTAAGAAAATTTCCAATGACATACAGATTTGTTACTTATGGAAAATATAAAAGTTCTGACTTTTATGTCAGTAGCATGGGATGGGTGACTATTAATGCAACTGTAGATTATGAAAAAACAAAGGATTTCTACATTTTAATAACGGTGTGTGCCAATTATATGAAGTATGAGTTATGTGGACTCGCCTATGTTTTTATTAATGTGGTTGATATGAATGACAATGCACCAAAGTTTTCTTTGGAAAATCTTGAAGTAATTGTTTTAGAAAGCACTCCAATAGGTAGCATGATTGCTCAAGTTACAGCAACAGATTCTGATATGTTGAATAATGGTGAAATATTTTACACCCTTTGGAATTACACCGATGTATTTTCAATTGACAAAGATACCGGAAAGATTTTTTTGCTTCGCGATTTAAAGTTTTTTGTAGATAAAACTTTTAATATCACTGTTGAGGCAACTGATAATGGTGTGCCAATTTTATTTTCATTTGTTAAATTGTTTCTTACAATTGTACCTGAGACAAAAACAACATTGGTTTCAATTGATTCTTATAATAATAAGGGTCCGCCCTTTTTTTTAAACTCTAATATAACATTTGAAATAGATGAGAATTGTCCTATAGGTACTTTTGTTGGAACTGTAAAAGCTTTTGATTCTGATAAAAACTCCAAACTTGTTTACAGAATAATTACTTTTTCAAATAAACATTTTTTTAAAATAAATAGTAGCACAGGTGATTTACTTACGGCTGATTTTATTGATTTTGAAAAATTCCAAGAACATTACTTTTTAGTTTTTGTTGAAGACAGTTTGTATATGTCTTATCAAGAGGTGAAAGTTAATGTGATTGATAAAAATGATAATAAACCGGAATTCTCTGAATATTTGTATGAAATCAAAATTAGCTTAGATACCAAACCAGGATCTCTATTGCTAAGACTTACAGCAACTGATAAGGATTCTGAGAAATATAATAAGCTTGAGTACAAAATAGTTGCAGGCAACATAATAGTTGCAGGGAACAAAATAGTTGCAGGGAACATAATGGATTATTTCATTCTAAATGAGAATGCAATATTTTTACATCGAAATGTTAATAATGATCAAACTTATGAATTAATTATTTCAGTTACTGATGAAGGAGGTCTAGAAAGTGAAAAATGTGCTAAAGTGATTATTTCTTTTGTAGATGAACTAAGTCATTCATTTTCTTTGTTTGATAGATATATTTATAATGCAAGTATTTATACAAGGTTTAAAAACACAAAAAAAGACTTACGTATAGTTAAACTTGAACTCAATTCGAAATTTGAAAATGTTGAATTAACTTATGATATCAATGCTATAGGTAATTATGAAAACTCTGCCTTTTATGTTAACAGTGATAAATGGTTAATGACAAATGTATTGTTAGATTATGAGTATTCAAATGAGTTTCACATATTAGTTATGGCTTGCACTAGTCCTTTTCAAAGAAGACTTTGTGGTTTAGCTTACATCTCGATAAATATTCTTGAAAATAATAACAGTGAACCATTTTATTATGTTAAAGAATACATTATAACTGTTGAGGAAAACACTCCAGTAGGTCAAATGATTGTCCGAATTCCAGCATTTGATACAATAAGTTCACCAAATCATAAGCTGTATTATACTCTCACAACTTACAATGATATCTTTTTACTTGATAAATATGGTAGACTTTTTTTAATTGGACAGTTGAACTTTTCTCTTATTAGTTTATATAATATTACTATTCAAAGCATTGGTAAAAAGCAATCGGATGGTTTTACTTTGCTTGTTAAAGTGGAGCCAATTAACTTGCACAATCAAACACCGAGATTTTATTATTATTCAAGTTTTTTTGTGAAAAATAACTGGATTATAGTTGTTATCGTAGCTTTTCTAGTTCTTGTTTTTGTTTCATTGTTGTTGTGCTTCAAACATTTAAGGTATGTAGTTCTTGTTTTTGTTTTATTGTTGTTGTGCTTCAAACATTTAATTTTTTTATTATTTTACTATTTAAGTATAATCATTTATGGAACATGTTGTGGGAGGGTTTGTTTATTATGATCAGACACCATTGTTTCTTTGTTTATTACCTAATAATATGAGTTATACAATACATATTGTACTTATATATTGACACTTGTGAATTTTCTAAAAATATTTAATAAAAAATAGGGAGAATTCTATATGCCTTTGCATGGCTTGAAATGTTGACTTGTGGGAACACTTTAAAATAAGTTGTCTATAAATTGTCACACTCTTAGGGGGGTGGGGGAGGGATAAATAGATTTTTGATGACTCATACAAGACTTGTTGATGACTCATACAAGACTTGTTGATGACTCATACAAGACTTGTTGATGACTCATACAAGACTTGTTGATGACTCATACAAGACTTGTTGATGACTCATACAAGACTTGTTGATGACTCATACAAGACTTGTTGATGACTCATACAAGACTTGTTGATGACTCATACAAGACTTGTTGATGACTCATACAAGACTTGTTGATGACTCATACAAGACTTGTTGATGACTCATACAAGACTTGTTGATGACTCATACAAGACTTGTTGATGACTCATACAAGACTTGTTGATGACTCATACAAGACTTGTTGATGACTCATACAAGACTTGTTGATGACTCATACAAGACTTGTTGATGACTCATACAAGACTTGTTGATGACTCATACAAGACTCGTCACTAAAGAGTTACAAGAGGAGTAAGAGGAAATTCGAAAAGTTGTAATAACATGTCTTATATATAAAATATAAAATATAAAATATGTCTTCTGAAAAGACATATTTTATATTTTATTGTTATTTTTTTATGTTGTCTCTTATTTCAGGCTGTTATTTTATTGTGTTATTTATTGTTTGTTGTTGTTGATTTTTTGTGTTAAATATTATTAATCTATTGTTGGATTGATTGGCTTTATCATCAATTTTTTTTACCTCTGGTTTTCCTAAATTTTATTCTAAAACAAATCTTTCATTTTTAAAATGCTTTTATTTTAGTTGCTTTACTTAGAGTAAAAAAATTCCATCCTATAATAAGAAAAATTTATTATTTAGTAAAAAAGTTCCATCCTATAGTAGCTAATATTTTACAAATATGCTAGTATGAATATTTTATATGTATGGCTTAATCCACATATAGTAATCCACCATTAATCAAAGCTGAGTACAATAAGATATGAATATGGTCCTTCTACCATTTTTTGCAGCTGGAGCTGAATGTAATGAATCGTAATTTTAGGATTATTGAGGAGGAATCAAGCCAGGGAATTTCATTTAAATTTTAGTTTAAAAAAATCTTTGATATGCTTAAAAAAAAAATCTTTCAATAACTTCAAGTATAAAATAAAAAATATTACAAAATATGAATAGAATTCGGTCTACTACAATTGTGTTACTTTATGTTCTTTTTACGTTCATTTTACGTTGCTGATAATTTATTTTTGAGACTGTTGATAATTTCATTAGTTAATAAAAATCCTAAAAATTCCTAAATATTAACTAACTTAGATTATTAATTTTTTACTTTTTCTATTTTTCTGGTGACAAAAACTACATTTTAATTTATTATTATTATTTTATTTTTTTGTTTTTTTGTTTTTAAAAAAGTTCTTTTTTTATTTAGAAAAAAAAAGTTTTTAAACAGCATGCTTAAGAAAAGGTAAAAAACCTGTTTTTGAATTTTAATTTTTTTATCTAGTTATCTGTGTTTTTATAAAAATTAGATGACCCAGGTTTCATATTCAAACCTTCAAAAAAAAAAATTAATGGAAGGAAATATAGTGAGTATTTTACAACCCATCTTTATCTAAAACATAATTACTCTAATTAAAAAAATTATCTTTGTTTAATAAAATCTCTCTTAAAAATCTCTCTTTTTTATTAAGTACGGTAAAATCGCATAAGCTCGCTTTATCCGATTTTATGCGATACCGTAAAATCGCATAAGTTTGATTTATGCGATTTTACGGTAAACACTCAAGCTTTGAACATCTCAAGTATAAGTTAAAGTTTTTCAGTTTTTTTTTTTCGGAATTATACAAACAACTATATCGTTATTTTATATTGCAAAAATAAAATGATAAAATTAAAAACTAGCATATAATATTTTATTTTAAATAAGCTAGTTTGACCGAACTTTCAATACCATCTCATAATTTTTTTTTCAAATATTGTTAACTTGGTGATTTAATCTTTGCACTAAATTTGATCATTTTATTCAATACATTTATTCCTAAATGACTGAAGTTACATGGCGACGGTATTGTTTAAATTTCTTTTAATTATTACCAAGATAATTTCTTCAAGAAAAAAAAAAATCATTCATTCTACTACCATCATTGGTCCATTTATTAATCTCCATTATCATAATTAGCAAAATTTTTAAAAAGTAAAAATAAAAACTCTGTGCCTGAAAAACTTTATCGTCTTCTATTATTGTTAACAATATTGTTCTTTCTGTTATGTTATGAAGGTTTCTTGAAGCAAAAAAACAGTAAATGTAATTTATCTGCATTCATTTATTTATTGGTGTTGTTTTTTAGTGTTGGTAACTCGCGTTGGAGGTTCTTTTTAGTGTTGGTAGTAACTCGCGTTGGAGGTTCTTTGTAAAATTTATTTTGATATTGTCTTTGCATTTCAATTGCGTTTTCACACTTTCAGTAGCATTTTAAAATCAATTTTTTTTTGAAGTTTAGTCTGGCTGTCATTATTGTGTTCAGGGGTTGAATCAGCAAAATAAACGCAAATAGTTTAGTTATTTACAATTATTTAAAACGTAGTAATAATATAATAATAATAATATTTAATAAAATTTAAATAATAAACACCAAGTATACAGTTATTTAAACTGTAAACTAAGTATACAATTAAACTGTGTACATATTTTCGGAACACTGTATATTTATGTAATTAAATATATTTAACTTTAGGCCAAAAAAAGAAAACCTTGTTGAACTGCAAAATATACTGAAGTACCTTTTAAAACCAGGTAATTTTAAATTTTTGATAATTTATCTTCGCCTAGGGTGATTATTGGGGAAGAGTTCATAGGCACATACTCGTACAATTTTTTTATAACTCTTTGATGTAAAAAGTAAAAAAAAGAGGCCACGAGAGGATCACGTGTTAAATCCATTTTTTTAGTCTCATGCGTCTACAATTTTCTTTTTCTGTATAAACGAACTGTTTTTTCTAACATATTTTTTTAAGCCGAATCGATTGAAGCAAGTATTTACTTCTCATCGGAATCTCTTCATTCCGCTTTTAATTCATCGAAGTTCCCACGAAAATGGCCGGTTTTAAAAAGTGCAATTTCAAACAATGATCTTTCATCGAAAGTCACTGGTATCGGAAGCGAAAATTCAAAATTATTAAATAATATTCAAAAAAATGATTTTAATAAAACTGGTTTTATTAAAAGTAAAAAACCAAGTCTTTTGGATTTAGCTCTAAGTAATTCTCGAATGAATAATGGTTTGCCGCAACAATATAGGACTAATAATTTTCCGCAACCAGATACGTTTTATGGTTCACCAAAGCAATATACGGTTAACGGTATATCTTCCAACCAAAAACTGAATGCAGCACAACCTATTATAAATAAAGAAAAATATATTTTTAAAAACGGTATCGAATTGATAGATATTTTTGATAAAATAGAGGAGTTTGAATGTTAAAACAAGAAACATATGTTTTAATATTTATAAATAATAATAATTTATTTATAAATAAATATTTATAAATAATAAATATATTGAACAAATTATATTGTTAAAGCAAAAAGTTAATGCACGAATTTCGTGTTCTTTAATTTATAATAAAATCTTGTTACAAAAGTTAAGTGTTTTTTTTTTTTTTTTAATTTATGAGTTTTCATCTTTTCGACATTTTTAGAGCTCCTAGGCACGAGAGATCAAAAAAAAAGAGAGAGAGATTTAAAACCGGAGTCCTTTTGGGATTCCCTGTTTAAAGCTTTGTTTTGTAGTCGTTCTTTTTATTTCTAAATTAACGTATTTTATTTCTAAAATAACGTTCTAAAGTAACGTTCTTTTTATTTCTAAAATAAAATCTATCGTTTCCAAAGCACTAATTTTTGTTCTCGCTTGAACAGATTTACGTTTAAGCGAGTTTCTGCGACTAGTTCTCAGATTTGCAGTTCTAAAATTAACGCGTAATAGCCTAAGAGCTTGTCGCCACCAAACATACGTTATTTTTTAAAGGCTGAAAATTTCTTAGGCGCATACTCCTAACACAAGTAGAAACGATGGTCAACTATGTACTTTAGATCATGGTGGCTTTGACTCGTAACTGCTACCAAAGGTAAAATAAAAAATTACTGGTTTCTATCAGTATTCAATAACAGTTAGAACCTAAGATAAAAATTATAATAAAAATGAAGTTAAAAAATAGTTTTAATAGCTATTTTGTTTTTTATTTTTATTTTGAACAAAATAGCTATTAAAACCATTTTTTAACTTCATTTTTATTACAATTTTCATCTTAGATTTTAACTGCTATTAAATGCTAATAGAACTCAATACTTTTTTTGACTCAATCAAACAGTAATTATTTTCAGTTAAGTTATGCAACTAAGGTTTTCGTTAGAAAGTTTTTAGACAATAAAACTTACAATATTTCTATTACTAACTACAATTTTTCGAAGTTTAAGGTGTCTGGCAAAGGGTTGCCACCATAATAAGTGTCTTAGAATGGATGGTATGATTTCTAATACTTCTACGATGAAAATTGTAAGAAAATTACGCTTTATAATTTGACGTAGTTTAGCCGGTATTTTAAAAACCTTTGGTACCTGTTACCAGCCAAAGTCACCATAATCTAAAATATATAGATGACCATCGTTCCTACTTGTGTTGGAAACACACGCTGATAAATTTTAAACTTTTATAGAATAACATAGGTCTGGCGACCACGGTCTCTTGCTCTATAAGATAAAGTTATTATCTTCTACCATTTTGTAGTATTTAAAGGAATTTTCTTCATCTATTAGGCTGGCGCATTATCTCCTAATGAGGGTACAGCTCTAAAACTCAGTTTTATGATTATGAGGCCGGCTGGTAGTCAGGTTTTCCGAACTCTGTGGTAGCTCTCAGAGAGGTTGATTCCATCAACAGCTGAAAAATATGAAATTATTAACAGTGCTATGTTGCGCATGGATGGTGTCCCTGTTTGTACTTTTGGTGTGCATTGCCAAGGCCACATTAGAGCCCTTTGTTACGGTTTAGGGGTTTTTAATTGTAATGAGGCAATTGCTTGGGCTATAAAATAGTGTACTGAGTACTATAGATGCTTCGAGTCAAGTTCTCTAGCAAATTTAAATATAAATAAAGTAATAAAAACTATAAAAAAACAAAAAACCACTGTCATCACTAAGTTCGCTAAACCTATCATTCACTAATATTTGTGATGTTTAAAGTAACTTTTCTTTTGTTCAGTGTTATCTCTTGCAAAGTTCACCAGACCTACTTGCTCTTTGTGAGACTATTTTGAGTTCAGCTCATCTTGTAATCTTAGTTTTGAAGGTTGTCTTCCATTAATTCGTAATGACTCCAATAGTTACATGCTTGGCTTGGCATTTACATTCGTAAGAATTCACCCATTTGTCGGGAAACTAGGTTTGAATCTACCAACTATTCTCTAATGTGCTTTTGTTTAGCACCACTTCACTCTATCACTTTCCTCTTTGTTCTATATCGCTCATTTCAAGACTGCACTCTTCTTGATGTTATCTCTGATCATGTTGACCAAGTCCTCTCTCTTTATCCATCAGCCAATATTGTTGTTGTCGGTGAGTTTAATGTTCATCACACTGAATGGCTTGGCTCTAGTGTCAGTGACTCTGCAGGCATTAAAGCCCACAACTTTTGCCTTTCTCAATCTCTAACTAAAATAGTCAACTTTCCAAATCACTTTCCAGACAACCCCAATCATTTACCTTCTCTACTCGACTTATGTCTTGTTTCTGATCCTAATCAGTGCTCAGTTAATTCACATTCACCCTTAGATGACTCTGATCACAGTTTGATCTCTCTAAAACTGTTATCTCATTCTTTATTATCATCAGAATCTCCCTATCATCGTACATCTTACAACTACCTTAAAGCTGATTGGGACTCTTTACGTGACTTTCTTCGTTATAACCTTTGGGTAGAAATCTTTCGTCTTCCTGTTGACAAATGTGCTTCTTACATAACTTCGTGGATTCAGGCTGGCATGGAATCCTTTATTCCCTCTCGACAATTCCAGGTCAAGCCTCACTCTTCTCCATGGTTTTCCTCACATTGTGCTGCTGCAATTGCCAATCGAAACCATTACTTCCATATCTATGAGCAAAACAATTCTCCAGAAAACAGAAGTCTATTTGTTACTGCTAGGAACCATTGTAAAAAGGTTTTGTCTAATGCCAAAGCTCGCTATTCTCAGGTCATGAAATCTCGTATCACAAAAACTAGGCTCTCGTGACTTCTGGAGAATCTTTAACAGTATCAATAATAAGGGCAAGTCTGTAATTCCACCTCTTTTGTATGGTTCAGATTTTGTCACCTCACCTAAAGACAAAGCTGAATTGTTTGCTAAGAACTTTTTATCAATATTATCTCTTTATTCCACTAGTTGCGTTCTACCTGATATAGCCGTCAAACAGGTTGATCAATTGCTTGACATTCGTAACACTTCAGCCTCTGTATCTAAATTTATTTCCTGCTTAGACTCTTCTACAGCTTGTGGCCCGGACAACATACCTGTTATAGTTTTGCAGAAGTGTTTTCCGGAGCTGTTGTCTATCCTTTCAAAAATATTTAACAAGTGCTTATTAGAGTTTGTTTTCCAGCCTGCTGGAAAGCAGCATCTGTTATCCCTATTTTTGAAAATTCTGGAGAGCAATCTGATTCGTCTAACTACCGCCCCATTAGTCTTCTTCCTATCATAAGCAAGGTTTTTTAATCTTTAATCAATAAACATTTAATCTCTCATCTTGAATCTAATAACTTACTTTCTGATCATCAATATGGATTTCGACCTTCTTGTTCTACGGCTGATTTGCTAACAGTAATAACCGATAGATTTTATCGTCCATTAGATAAAGGTGGAGAGGTTAAGGCTATCGCTCTTGACATTTCTAAAGCTTTTGATAAAGTTTGGCATGCTCGTCTTCTTTATTAGCTTTCTTCTTACGGTGTATCTGGAAACATCTTTAAGATTATTGAGTTCTTCCTTTCTAATCGTAGTATAAAAGTTTTTGATGGAGAGCACTCTTCTTCTTATTCTGTAACCTCAGGGGTTCCTCAAGGTTTAATCCTTGGCCCTATACTCTTTTTAATTTACATTAACAATCTTTTAGATACTCTCTCATTTAAGGTGGCATTGTTCGCTGATGATGCTGCCATTTATTCTTGTCATGATAAGAAGCCAACTCTCTCTGATTGCTTGCAGGGGGCATTTGAGCTTGAAAAGAATCTCACTTTTGCTACAGCATGGGGCTCACAGTGGCTGGTGAACTTTAATTCAGATAAAACTCAATTTTTTTCGGCCAATCGTTATCGCAATACTTTAGACCTTCCTATATTTATGAACGGTAATGTACTTGATGAGTTATTTACCCTTCATTTTCTAGGATTAACTCTTACTTCTGATCTTTCTTAGAAACCATTTATCAAATCCGTTGCAAAATTAGCATCAAAAGTTACATCTCTTTATCGAGCTCGACACTTTCTTACTCTGGATTCTATTTTCTATCTCTACAAATCTTAAATTCGGCCCCGTATGGAATAATGTTGCCATATCTAGGGCTGATCTTCTAATGATGCTCTTTCTCTTTTTTTAATTGATTGTATTGGGTTGAAAAGATATTTCTTGGCAATTCTGTACTCATAATGAAGATTTTTATTAACCTGGTCAAGCAACTGAGTTACATCAGTAGTGTCGGGAGGAGAAATAAATAATCAAATTTGTTTTGAAAGGAGGTATATTAAATCATCGTAACTGAATTGTGAACTATGTCCGTCAGATAATAAAAAAAACAGGTCGTTTTATTGCCTTAAGGCAAGATGAGAAGGCCTTCTCATTAAGGTAATCATCAAATTCTTGGCACTGCCTTTTCTAATTGTAAATCCTTTGCATCTGTGAACTTTCTCCCAAGTGATGCCTCAGGCTTACTTTTTCGATGAATATATTGTAATTTTTCCAGCCTGAGCTGAAATATTGTTTTCATTTTGTATGTTATTTTTTTCTAACTCTATTTGAACTCATTATTTTTATCTTTCAAAATAAAATTTTTTTTATTTTTATTTAAACGTTTTACTAGAAATCTGTAACTTTTCTTTATCTGATAGTTATTAAATGTGATATTTTTGCATATTATCAATAGAAAACTTTGGAAAATTATTTAATGCGTCGATTACGGTTCAAATTGCATTTTACTTTTGCTTTTTGTATTTAAAATCTATAATTTTAATTCATTTTTTAAATTAATTATATTTTTCATTAGACTTGCAATAACTTTACTGTTTTAATGAAAATTTAAATGAAAACAGTTAATCAAAGAAGCAGCTATTCTAATATCAGTCATTATATGAGGAAGCATTATATTCAGGGCCGCATTTAACGGTCAAACCGCCCCTGGGCTTTGGCAGCATGGGGTGCCCCTCAGTGTGGGCAATATTTTTAAATTTTTATTCCTTATTTTCTAAAACACAATTATAAATATATAAATTAATGCATTTTGTAGTTTAAGATGATCACTTTTTTTTATTGTCAGTTGTA